TATTTAAAGTCATCCTATGTAATGCAAAGTCAGAAATCAGTGCATTGAATGTATAAGATTCACTGCCATGATTGCCTGGAGTCCTACGGTCACAACAATTCGTAGTAATTAGCAGCAGTGTGAATAGAAAATTCGGAGCTAAGTGGAAATAATGCTTTATCTTTTGAATTTCTGAACTGAATGCGTGTTCAGTTAAGTCACTGGCAATTATATTTTGTGGTAAAAATTGGATGCTTGCTATTTCAAAAGTACGTTCATTTTATAACCTACAACTCATTCCATTTTCAGACTCATTTTTGAAAAATATCAATTTGAACCGAAGAGGAAAAAAATAAAATGGGATATAGGCAATATTCGATGAGCCAAATTCACCAGAAAATTCAAATCATCAAAAGCTGAATTAGCTAATATATTGACTGAGATGAAATTACAAAAAAGAACAATGAGCCTACAGTAAGTTTTGAATGCCAAAGTAATCTGTAATTGTCAGTTTGAATGTCTTGAAATGAATCATTTCACTTACGTTTTAGGTTTGATCAAAACATCCTACTCCAGGTGCCACCAGGACAAACCAGTTGTGCCAGAAGCCTATAATGTTGGGTCATATACAGCACAAGAGTGTGAGACTGCTGCTTAAGCCTCAAGAATGACTTCAGAAGTACTATGGCTTCTGTTTATGCATATGATGTATTGAAGACTGTAGAGGACCCGCTTCGATGGTTAGTTACTACTTTGGGCACAGTGAGTGGACTGTTGCATGTATCCAGAACCACATTACACTGTGTAACACACATTTTGTTACTGGCTTCTGATTATTATTTTCTGAGAACAGTAACACGCAACCACATAAGAAAATTTGGATTTGGATTTTTTTTAATATTGGGGGGAGTATTTTACCCAAATCGTTTTTTGGGGTATTTAAAACAACATAAAACTCTCATTATAACACAGGGGTGCTATTTTTTGTGTTTTTAATTATCCAAATTGTTACAAACCTATTATAAATAACTTTTTAGCAATTAAAAGACTTGAAATTGAACATAAAAACACAGATTATTTGTTAAAGACAATTTCACGAATAGGCACTCATATGTAGTCACCATCGCTTGGCTGACATGAGCAGTCACGACCTTGTAATAGAACTAAGATAAGGAAAGTCGGAATAAAAATTGGGCTTAGCTTTAACCTGGTACACATACTGCAGGAGTTTTAATTAATGTACCTTTTTCATGACTTTTTTATTTAATTGTTGAAATTTCTTTTGTTGGTCAATCAAATAGCACTTCTTTTCCACGTTTTTTATATTTAGTTATTTACATGCTATTGTTGATCAATTAAATGGTTTTTTTCTCATATCTTTGTTATTTGATAAGTATCATTTCTATTTTTGTTCAATCAAATTACTTCCAAATTGCTCTGAAATATCAGTTTGTTTGCAATGATTTCATGAATCATACTGTTACACCAAAGATTTAAATAAAAATGTTCACTATTCTTATGATGATCATTGCTTGCTTCGTTTTGTAAACACGATTCTCAAGATGTGAATTATGAAAATTTTCCTATTGATTTGACCCTCTTGTGTGGGTCAGAAACGTTTTCAAAACCTATTTGCTAAAACTTCTTGATAAGTATACTTGTAAGTATTTACATTTTTAGAGTGCAAGTTTGTAAAGATCCCAAAATATATATAAAGTTCATGCAATTTTAAAACATTTTCAGATTATGACAAACCTATGAATCAAAGTCATCTTTCCCTATCCAGTGTGTTATTTTTATTCAATACTGTGTATGTATCACTGAGTTTCACTTATTTATTTTTCATGTTCAGACACATTCTCATGATATTGAAAATTTGTCGCTGATCCACTGTACACATAGCCAATTTATTTATTTTTTTCTGTTTATTATCGTCCAAACTCCATTGAATTTAGTTTTCAGTTAAATATAAATTACCATCACATTATTCTGGCCGCTTTTGTTTTATTTAACGAATGCAACCCCGGACCTCCCCCCCCCTTTTTTTTTTAAAAACACACACACACATGCTTAACATTGCTTTTATCTAAGAATCCCCCATTTTGTTCAGAAATTTATTGTTAGAATATTATCGTAATTGTTTTTGCCACTGGTCATCTCTCAGTGATAATCCTAATCACATCAGCGTATATGGTGGGGGGTGACTTCGATGGTCGTATCGCTCCCCCCCCCCCCCCCCCCCCTGTTCATACCAAAACAATTTGATTTGCTGTAGCTATTTTATTGATGAGTGTATTTTTTGGTTGACAAAGTAATAAAATCTCTCTTTCGTTGTACTGCCATTGGTTTACAATTCAATTGTTTGCCATTGGGCGTTTACAATTCAATTATATGCAGTGATAGCGTCTGTAGAGGGCAAATTTATAATGTAACATTGCCAACAACATTTAGCTATAGGACAGTTGTAATATATCTTATTTGACGTCGTCTTTACTGTCGAAAATTCAGTTCGTTTTAGTCATTCAGGCCTGTTGTGGTGTGAAACACCCAAACAGGGGACCCCAAATGGCGAAATATGGTATTTCGAATTTGACAGAAGCCAAAAAGAGCCCAAGCTATTTCAGAACGCCCTGGTTGTCAGTAAATTCCGGGACAACCGGGGCGCCAGACGTCAAGTCCGGGACTGTCCCGACCATTCCGGGGACGGCCGATACCCCTATTCTGGAATAATTTTCCCAATTTTCCGTAGGCTATATGTGTGTGTGTGTGCTGACTTGCATTGCCCATTTGTTTTAGTGTTACGGAAAACTCGAAATAAAATTTACTTTACTAACCGTGTGTTGCGTCTATATTTTGTTTGTCACCGAGCGGCGTGGGTTGTTAATGTAAGTGCCTCATATTGGGTTTGATACTGACTGGGACGCCTTATCGGATTTCTGCGCTTCCGGAATATAACTACTCATTTAAATCTTCCCCAATAACCTTTCAAAACTACTAAAATTAGGCTTGTTTGCGTTACACTACTCGACCCGAATGATCGAAAATCGCGTCCATATGACGCCATAATGGGACAAGTTAGTTGCACGGTGTTGATTCTTAGAAGTCAGAAAGCATCTAAAAATGAGGTTATACAGAAGTACATCCAAGCGCGTGACGCCTCTCATTGGCATTTATTTGCGCAATACTACACATAAATAAGCTATTCTACACTACGGATGGTCTGAATGTTGAAATTTGGATATCCGCCTTGATTTATACTTATCTTTACATATTTAATTAGCTCGGAAATAGAAATACTTCCTAATACACAACAAGTTCACAGGACCGAACCCAGGTTAAGAGGCACTGATATACTTAATCATCCTGAACAGTTGTGTGTTTACAAACAAACATTGGAGACTCTGAAGCGTTCCTCTCTTTCTATATCTAGAACACATAAAAAAGGAGTTGCACTGACGTCTGTGCAAAAAATAGATCGGGTCGATTGAAGGGCGTGTCCGCATCGAGCAAATACCTTTTCAAGACAGCTTGTTGCTGAAGCCGGAGAAAGTTTGGTGCAATGAAATTCAAATGAAAATCTAGAATATTCATCGACGATGGATAGCATGTAAACATTCTTCGTCTGCGTTGGAAAAGGTTTTTCGACGTCCACACTCAGTCTTTCAAACGGTCTTGATTATTATGCCATTAGGGATGTAAGTTTCAAATATTTTTTTTTCAAATCGAATTTCAAATCACAATGTTCCGATTCGAATATTTCCGAATCTGATTCTATTTAGTATAATTATCATCATATTATCCTTAACTTTCTTCAAATTTGGAAGAAATATAGTATAAATTTTGATGAAATAACAATAATGATCTTAAAGAATTAGGAAAGTTACTAGAAAAACACACTTCATGGATGTATCAACTACCATAGATCAAAAACCGTCTTTGCAAAGACAGCAAATTACAACAAAATTGTGTTCGCGTTGTCATCGCCATGGGAATACGGGGTCAAAGCGCAACATGCCACGACGTTTTGATGAAATACCTCGTAGCGTCGGACTTAAACCAGGATTAGTTAAGTAACCGCTAAACTAGGTTTTTGATCTCCGGTTAACTATCGAAGTTAAACCGAGTTTAACTAACCTGAGATTAGTCTTAATCCAGGTTTAAGTTAAGTGAGGTTTTTGATCTCCACCATAAGATTTTAGATTATTTCTCAACTCTGCGATAACGTATTTGGAAAAAAGATTTGACTTTGATTAAAATTCAACATTTGGAAAATTATCTCTTTTGGATAATCTTTCTCCAAAATATCAGACACTTGTAAAAATTGTAGAGCATTTGAAGTTGAAAACAATTTAATTTGAATATGTTTGACCTATTTGATGCAGTTCATTCACTCAATGTTAAATAAACATTAAATGAAAAACACATATTTTTTAATATATCTTTTTAGCTTGTATACAATTTGTATTTCATTGTTTTATATTGTTCTTTCCTGCAAGTTACAAAATAAATAATGACGGTAATCTATGTCCTTTATTGAGACTTTTCATAGTTGGCAACCCTACCTGTAGTGTCACATACAATATGCACATTATTGGGATTTTTTTTTTAGGATTTAACTTACATATTTATCCCGGGGGAGAGGAAAGCCGATAAGACGGCTTATCCATATGACGAACCACGGCCTCTCGTCCATAGAATCTTGCACCCATGGATACCAGTCGTAGAAGTAAAAGAGGTTTCATTGCCAGTTACGCCGAAATACGGACCTTCTAATGTTATGGAATAGTAATGAACACTATTAATTTGAACATCCATTAATCCAGATCGAGCAAAATCTCGAAACAGGCGAAAAACATCCATCGGTATCCATCCATTATGACGCAAATAATTTTGTGGCCCCCGGAGCCGACAACCTTGGACCACCCTGCCCTAGACTATGGCTTTTTTTTTAACTTTTTTCTAAACGACGCATATTTGTGCCTTCGGCCCCCAACACGGCTCTGTACAATTGGTCACTGATATCTCATAATATGGTATATTATGTAAAGAGCTATTATTTTTAATCAGCTATGGAACACGCTTTCCATTTCACGGATATTCAAGCAATCAGTAACTTAAGCATGTGTCATTTCTTTTCCAAGGGTGAATTGAATTAAACGGGAGAGCAACACTTGTCAATAAAAAAATACTAAATTTAAGATATTGAGGTTAAGGCATTGGTAAGGCACATTCACCCGTCCGAGAAACTAAACTTCTTCACTGATTTAGCACTGAACTGAACATTTATTATATTTTAGTAGTTGATACCATCTGAATCGCCAAGATAAAAATAAGATACAGAGAATCAATTTCGAATGTGATTAAAACTTTGCACGGGTGAAAGTCAATGACTGGGACCTATGTGATGTATTCTTGTAAATTGTAAAACCTATAACACCCAGTATTGCTGTGAATAGTCCTATTTTGAACCAGGTTCCAAAAGAAAACTTATCATATGATGACAATCCTTTTTTATGAGCAGCAAATGAAGCAACAGTTTGGAAAGTTGTTTGACTGCACTCTTTTGTGTGCAAAGAAAACTTTAGAGGGGGTGGAATGCCTTGGCTTCTACAAAAGTCTATTGGCTGCACAGCACAATGTTGCTTTGCAGCAGGAAGGTCAGATTTTGCTGCAATGACCAGACAAGGAATATTAGTATTTGCCACATATTGTTTATAAAGATTTACACATTCTTGAAAGCTCTCAGCGTCAGACACATCATAAAGAAGGCACATCGCATCGCATGTCAGGGCGCCTTCGCCAGATTCCAGTAACTCTGTTGAATCCACCTCGTGTAACAGTAAATATTTCAGGTGACTTTGCACTGAAACTGTGTTTATAGCAAATTCAGATCCACCAGCTACGCCCTTTCGCTCCAACAGCGATTGGAGAAAAGAAGTCTTTCCAACTCCATGAGGTCCTATGACCTTACATGTATAAATTTTTCTTTGCATTGCATGAATATACTTTCTTTTACCAGAGTGTGGTTGAAGCGCAATATATTCGATGGCTTCAGCTTGTGATTGCCGTCCTGTTAATGTTGAATATCCCAAATATGCTAAATACTCCATTGTTCTTGGTAGATCAAGATATGCAGTAAGGGTCCACTGAGAAAAAAAACCTCTCAGTGAAATCCAACCTTGTGAGTTGGTGTGAACTGTTGACAATACATCTGGTCCCCATGGATCATATGGAAACACACTAAAAAGGCTGCCGATTTCCTCTTGATTCAAAAAGCCATCATGATCACGGTCATGAGTACGAAAGACTATCTCCAAAAATTTGTATGTGTCATTAGTGAGTTGACATGCAGAATCTGGTGGAGGCTCTTGAATAGGAGGATACAAGTATTGGTCAGTGAGCTCGAGGTTGTCAGAGTAACCAAATTTTCTCAGAACAGCCCATGTGGTTTCATGACGTCCTCTCTGAATAAACAATGAATGGAGGTAGAGAAATCCTTCAACTGTGAGCTTTCCATCCCTGACACCTTCTGGACAGCTTTTGCATACAACTGTTTTGACATCTTGTAAAGACTGCGAAGCAAGAGGAGTATTAAAACATATTTTCTGAAAATTGCTTAGTTCGTCATCACACAACATACCATCTTTGTCTAAATCGCAAAGACAGAATATCCGTGCCAATGCAATTCTGCAATCATTCTTCAGCATCCCAGTTTGGGTGCAAAAAAGTGGGGCTGTAGGATGCAAAACAGCTTTCTGCGCGAAGTAGAACATCTCACTGATATTTTTGAGAGTTTTTGCAGAACATTCAATACAGGTTTCCACTTCTGGATATTCATTCATGATTGGCAGAATGTCATCCATCTGCGAATCCCCTACCAAGTCCGACTTGTTTCCAACTAGAATGATAGGCATAGGATGCAAAGAGTTTTCCCGAATCACAGGAAGCCATGTATTTTGAACTTCTACTAATGTATCAGAGTCACTGAGATCATAAACAAGGCAGACAACATTTGCTCGACTCAATTCTTGATAAAGCTGCAAGTCATTTTGTTCTGCAGAAGAAAAGTCAACAATATGAGTTGGGACTTTTTCTGGAGTGACATCAGCTGGAATGGTGATCTCCTCAGCTCTCAACGGAACCTCTTCCGCAAACTCTTCGCTAACTAGAGACAAAATCAAGGAGGTTTTGCCAACTTTGGGTTCTCCAAGTAGCAAGATGCGCAATTCTTTCCACATTTTTCTGCCCTTCTGTCAAATTAGTTCAGATAATACTTTATACATTACATTGCAGTGCGAAGAGCAACAATGCGAGCACTCAATGATTTGCTCTATTTATATCTAAGTTCACTGTGAGTGTATTGAAATAATTTGAAGATTTTAGAGCAGCTGTTTATTCAAAACCACCTCTTGGTTAATATATACTTAGGGTTACCATACTTTTGTGACTTCAAAGCGGGACGGGACGCCTCAAAAGACAACAACCCCTTAGCTGTGATTTTGTAACTTTACATTTTCTGATTTTACTACATAGGCCTACATTCCTACATTTAAAGCTGTCTTTATTGACCATTTTGTTATTGGCATTTCATGCACATATCTTCTGTCCAAATATCGGGTTCAGTTCGAAAATAGAAAGGAATTGACGGTAACGATACCGGTACAAATAATTCGAATTTAGACTAATTAGTATTGGTTTTACATGCGATACATCTGCTACCAATGGAAATCAGCGGAAAACAAACGCATTCACCTCCAGTAAGTAGGCTAGCGTTGCGCAACACAGAAACAGCAGTAACGAGAACATGTTCGTATATTATGCTGGATGGCTGAACGCAAAAGCGGGACATTTGGCTGACTTGTCGGGACAAGACGCCAAAAAGCGGGACTGTCCCGCCGAAAGCGGGACGTATGGTAAGCCTATATATAGGCTACTGATTACTACATCTGGCAGTCTGGTAAATGTACGATTTCACTTTTTTTTGCAAACAAAGCAAAATTTAAAAAGTGCAAGGATAAAATAAATCTATAGAATACCATGCATGCAAAATTATATTTTTCATGCTCACCATTTAATCACAAGAAGAAATGAGAAAGGCTGTTTCGGTCTAGTTCTCTGTTTTAATTGAAATGTGCCTCACAAAGATAGCACAACAATCAAGCTTTAATTTATTATCCTGCTACATTGACTACTATAATTTCTTCATCCGATCTAAATTATTACGTTCTGGGTAAGGTGTTGGGAATCGGGTTTCGAATGGAGACCAGTCAAACATTTGCTCACATCTAATTTTCAAATGAAGTTAAATCAGTAACCTACTTTAAAAAAGATGTCTGAAAACTTTTAACCATAGGCCACATAGGTTTCCAACATTTCTAGGGCCAGGACTTTTGACAATTTGTTCTGAAAGTTGTGGACCCTTTAAACAAAACCATTCAATATTGATATATGGTCTATATTCTGATATTAGACACAATGCTCCCCATCAAAACTGAATAAAAGTCTCTCCAAGTCAAAGTAAGCCAAGGTAAATATCTAATGGCATATTATATACATTTTAAGAAAGTTGCACACTAGAAAAGGGTATCGAGATAAATTGAATTAGAATTTAGTATCGTGATCTAAAATCATCAAACATAGCCTATATAAAAAATTAAATTTTCAGTTTTAAGGACAAAACTCACATTCATAATCTTCTCATGGAAAACATTCAACATTAATTTATACAAATTTCATAGTATTTGTAATAAGGGGCAATGGATGTCGAACCATACGGTATATTTTGTCAATTGCACAGAACAGCAGTAGGACAGGTGTAATCTACTGTGAACCATGAGAGCCAGCCAACATAATTTGTGTCAAGGAGGATGTGCCACAGGCTGTGCAATTGATTGGGTGATTGGAAGAAAAGCCTAAAGGCATTTATAGATGCAATTCAAAACATATATACTTGAATATTTCCATATGCACATACAGACATAGCTCTAAATCAGCGATCTTCAACCAATGTTCCACGGAATACTTGTGTTCCATGAACGACATCCATAGGTTCTGAGCAAATTTGTTTCTAATTCATTCTAATTGACATATTTATGATAACAAATTGAACAGAGTAGAAATCAAAATTCAATTAACAGCTTGCAATTGGCTTTTCGTTATTTCATTTCTATGCCAAAATTGATCGAGACTAGAATCAAAATTATTATTACAGTATTATTAGTTCACAGGATTTTTCATTTTTTAAAATACAGAAATTTTCCTTTGCAGCATGTAATCTATAATACCGGTACTGGTATCGCAATTAACGTTATTTCTTTACTACGACCAGCTTCCGTATTATCGTTGAGTTGAACAAAGACAAAGATAGTAAACTAACATACCTTACTATAACTAAGTTGTGTAGAACAATCTATAAAAATAGTCTAGCATTAAATCCATCTCTGATACCGGTACGGTACCGTACTTCACATGATTACATGGAATTGATTTTGTATTACATAGAGCCGGTACCGGTATCCGGTCTAGTTACGCAGTTGCCATTTAAAAGGGGGTCTTTTGGACGCGGAGCGGAACGGGCGTGTCAGCGGCTCTGGAATGGTACGGTACATCAACGACTAACATACCTGGGTACATATATCGGGAGGCGGACAACTCGACTACACGGACAACTCACCAGAGACAACTCGACTACCTAGAGGCCTGGTGAGTTGTTCGTCTTTTGACATTTTCTACGGTGGTGTTTTAGGTCTATAGAAATGCGTTTTTGATATTTTTAGTGCTCAAGTGTTGAGAAAAACACATAAATATGCTCTAGAAAGCATTTTTATTTGTATAAGTGGCTTATTTTGATCATGTTGTATGAATACAAATACAGTCTACAGACGAAATTGTAGTAACGTTAGCGAAGTTTGACTGTTGACTCATAGGACTGTGTTCGTTTAATTTTTTGAACTTTATTGGTATTAAATGTTTTGAATGAGCACCTTTAAATATATTAAAACCTTTATACTTCACAGTAACACTTAAATATTTATGAATGTGAGCTCAGTAGTCTATGGTTGCAGTAGTCTAAACTAGAAATGTACCGATGTATCGGTATCGGGTATCGGCAATATCGGTCATTTTTTCGGTATCGGCCATGTATCGGTATCGGTTAAGTCAAGGCCGATATTTCCGATATATTTTCTTTTTGATATGGTCCAGAATGTTTTAAAAGATAAGTTGGAATACTACTTTTTAATTTATTTTTTGTCTGGACAGATCGTGAGCTATGAGCCATACATGTCCCCACCCCCACGAGAGAATGGGATTCACGTGTTTATAGCTATTCATCAGCCAAACTAGCTCAACTAATTTGGCCATTTTCGCTGTCAAATTCTAATATTGACATTTTTAATATTACATAGTAATTATGAAGAAATATATCAACACAGCACATGACAAAAAGCAACTAGGCGCCCAGTTTCAAATCATACAGTGGAATTGAGGTCCTTATCAACGGCACATGGACTTTTGGCACGGGTATAAGTTCTGACTGTTTGTCGTCAAGTACGAGTTTCATTTAGTCCGTCGACATCGATAAACTGAATTCCGAAATTCAAAATATATGATAGCAATTGTAAAATATTTTATATTACAAAATAGTAAAGTAAAAAAACATCCTCGACGGTTATAGGTAGGCCTTCTTTTTGTCGGTGCTGATTGATATTCTTTCATTTTGGCTTTGACTTATTGCGTCGACGATTACGATTAGCCACGAAATAAAATATTTGTAAAATGCTTTTAATTTGAACGTAGGACGGCGGCGCTAGAATGTGTGGGTGATATTCGATATTCTTTTAAACACGAATAACGATATTCGAAGGTCGCGATATTCATATTAAGTTCAAATGGGACATCCGGGCTTAATGAGTTTTCTAATTGAACCCCGAGATTACTAGCGTTTCTGTACAATGTATCTTAATCAGTTGAAGCAAACACTAAACATTAATTTCATATTATGTGATATATCTTTTTTTTCGATCTGAAATAATGTGTACTATGAACAACGCTCAAAGACCATTGTTTTAACCCGTCTGCCCCACACAGCACACCTAATTAAGTAATAATTACATAGTATCGGTATCGGAATATCGGTAATATCGGCCTTTTTGTAGTATCGGCGTATCGGTATCGGCGTTTTTAGCTGGTATCGGATCGGTATCGGTATCGGCGACAAAAGTGGTATCGGTACATCTCTAGTCTAAACTCGCTTACGGCAGTCGCTCGACAGGCCGTCAACTCACAAGTCGAGCAAACGCTCTGCGACGTGACGTCATCGATGCTCGAGGTGAAGACAACTCGACTACCGAGCAACGAGAGGCAGACAACTCACCAGTCGAGCAATCGCTCTGCGATATCGATGCTCGAGGAGAAGACCTTGCTTTGCAAAACGCTAACTCAAGAGTTGCATAGCATTTACTTAGTGCCGACTGATATTAGTTGTAAGCCAACTCACCACGGCAAGATTTCAGTCATAGAGTTGGAATTTCTTTTTGCAGAAGAAAACCAGGAACAGATAGGCACTGTCGCTGCGCCTGGCAAAGAAACTGGGCCGAAGAATGGATTGAAGATGTTTACTTTTTGTTACGATTAATGAATTTAATATGATATTTGAATACTAAACGTTATGGGGGAATTTAATGGATGGAAGGTTTTGTTTTCCTTTTCGTTACGAATAATGAATTTTATTTGAATACTAAACGTTATGGGAAATTTTCTGCGTTACATACTTACTCTTTGCAATACTGCGGCCCGTAGATCACCTCCGAAGAAGAGAGTCCACAGATAACTCTCTTTCCTTGTTCTGTTCCCAGACACGTTGCACCCTCTCGTTGGCTTCCGCATACCTGCCGTTGACACGCCCCACAACGTCCGCCTCTATCCCTATACTTACCTCGTTCATTGTTGAGATTAAACTGTGAAAAGGCATATTTTTCCGAGTTATACTGTTAAAATGGCGGTGCCAACCTTCCAGATTGTTGGTTCTTATTTCTACGTCGAATACTGACCAATCATTGGGAGTCCAGACACTGTTGTATATCCATGTGTTTTGAAAACATTCGGCGAAGATCTTGAGTTTGCATCTTTTCTTTCAGTGATTTGAATCTGGACGTAATAAACATAGCTGGTATATAGCACAGCGCCATGGCATGCTTGATCAGGTCTCTTGTTCCAGCGTCCCTAAAACAAAAACATGTTAATACAAAAGAAGTGAATGATGTACAAAGACTTATATAATTATGGTTAGCCACTCACTTGTTGTATAGGCGAGCCAAATTTTTGTGACGCACATTCTTCATGATGGCCTGAGTGAAGTGATATCCATGCACGGAGATTAAATAAGGTGCCAGATCGGTGATAATGAAGCCGCGCGCCGAGATTACTGCTCGATTATCGCCGAGTTTAAAGCCTCATTATCGCCGGCCTGACACCTTACAAACGTAAATACTCATTAGCCGAGGTCGTTTTCATCACAGTTTTATACTGAAACGAGGACGACTAACGGTATATTAACTCCACAAAAACTACGCAAGAATTCAAGATGACTACTCCAAATATGTGACGACAACGTTACCATGATGCAGGAGGGACTCATCTGTGACGTCTGTCGAAATTGGTTTCATCGCAAGTGTTTTAATAATTCAGATGTGGCAATGACAAGGGAACAGTACAGCCTATTAAAAAAACAGGACGTAACGTTTGAGTGGAAGTACCCGGACTGCTACCAGGCCCATGACACCCATCATAACTCCAACCCGATTGTTGTATCCCAGCAGATGGAACCTAGCCGTCGGCTGGTAGACTACTCAAGTGGTGAGTTGGCTTACAACTAATATCAGTCGGCACTAAGTAAATGCTATACAACTCTTGAGTCTGCGTTTTGCAAAGCAAGGTCTTCTCCTCGAGCATCGATATCGCAGAGCGATTGCTCGGCTGGTGAGTTGCCTGCCTCCATTGAGGTGTATAAATGCCTGCCTCTCGTTGCTCGGTAGTCGAGTTGTCTTCACCTCGAGCATCGATGACGTCACGTCGTAGAGCGTTTGCTCGACTGGTGAGTTGACGGCCTGTCGGGCGACTGCCGTAGGCGAGTTCAGACTAGGATAGGATAGGATTTACATATTTATCCCGGGGGAGAGGAAAGCCGATAAGACGGCTTATCCATATGGCGAACCACGGCCTCTCGTCCGGTTACCATTCCAAGTCGGGTATGGGATTAGTTTTTACTGTATTGTTTGTTTTCGGAAGCATGGACTTGGTGGTGGAGGAAGCAGTAACCGACCAGCGGTTACGTGAACCACCCAACGACGGCGAGGAGTCCAGCAATTCTTTCGCACATAACCATCCCTGCATGGGATTCGAACCTGCGAACCCACGCAGAGTAATTAGAGGTGCGGTGGCGAGCGTATTCCTAATGCTTAGCCCGTTGAGCCGCGCCGCGCACTACTGCAATCATAGACTACTGAGATCACATTCATAAATATTTAGGTGTTACTGTGAAGTATAAAGGTTTTATATATTTAAAGGTGCTCATTCAAAACATTTAATACCAATAAAGTTCAAAAAATTAAACGAACACAGTCCTATAAGTCAACAGTCTAACTTCGCTAACGTTACTCCAATTTCGTCTATAGACTGTATTTGTATTCATACAACATGATCAAAAAAGCCACTTATACAAATAAAAATGCTTTCTAGAGCATATTTATGTATTTTTCTCAACATTTGAGCACTAAAAATATCAAAAACGCATTTCTTTAGACCTAAAACACCACCGTAGAAAATGCCAAAAGACGGACAACTCACCAGGGTTCTAGGTAGTCGAGTTGTCTCTGGTGAGTTGTCCGTCAGCCCATATATCCAGAAACTGAATATTGTAATTAGCTTAAGTAACTGTAGCTTAAGTAAGTTATTGGACACGTAGTGGACATAACGATCGTTTCAATATTATGTTGTTGTTGTTCTTGTTCTTTGAAACGTTTTTGAAAAGTCGCTTTTCTCTTCGAATACTGGACCAATTGCTTTGAAATTTTCAGTGGTTAAAGATTAATTTTTTCGCTAGAAGGCTATTACTTTTATTTATTTCAAAATTTTGCGTGAATTCTATGAAATTTGATATTTCGTCTAAAATTTTGCTCTATTATTTTTTATCCATGGGAACACGGATTTTAGTCAGTGTCATGACTGGCTGTACGTTTTGATTCTGCAAAATTCTTGCTACTGGAAATTCAGAACTTTTTTGAGGGTACCGGTAGCGTCAAAGGTACCGGTAAGGACTGATTCGCTCTGGTCTAACTTGTCCATATTTTTGTGCGTAGCTCTCTTGTACTAAATGACACTACAATCATTACGGTACCGGTACCGCAATTATTTCTTTACCACCACCAGCTGTCGTATTAACGTTGAATTGAACAAGTGAGTCACTTTGGAATTGAATAAAGAAAAGGATAAAAACTAACGTAACTACTAAGTTGTGTAGAATAATCTATAAAAAATAGTCTACTACTAAACCCTACTCCAAGCCAACGGCCGGCAACCAACTTGCCTAATGTTAAACAAGTTCATGAACGCCATCTTGTGCTATATTTGGGAAACGCGAAACAATGGAGTCTTATGAGAAATTTTCGTCTTGTTGTTGTACCGAATCAAATAAGTCCGCTGTTATAAGGGCTAGAATGAAACTGAAGGGTGGATTTTGAACTTCAAGATATATGCTATCTAAATATATAACGCAATTAAGAATAAAAAACTATCCAATGCGTTAAATTCGACCACAAACACAGCGTAGAACCATTTTTGGTCATTTTTTCAAAGATTTCATAGTGATACGCCAATTTGAGGCTGTAAAATGTCTCCGCAACAATCCTACAATGTCATTTGTTCTTCTAGCGCAGCTTGGAGCTGAGTAGTAGGGCATTATGGAGCTTGACAGACGAAAAATATTAACAAAAAAAATAGAAACGGCTATTGAAGCGAAGTTGGGTCGGCCGGCCTCCATTGGAGGGTATTCACCTCTTTAGCGCCTCCACTGGATAGTGAGCAGGACGTCAGACGGCGACTTCGCGATTGTTACTCTGGCGCGTTTTTTTTTTTATCTGTCTGTGTAATGGCTGAGCGTATCTTTAGCGACGATTTGAAATATCTTCCTGATTTTAGTTTTGATGACGTTACAAAATATGCTGAAAAGCATGCTGGGAATGGAAATAGCGCCAAGTGAGGATACAAATACTGCTGGGAGTCTTTCATCCACGATTACAAAGGTATGGTAAGTTAGGTAGGGCAAGTAAGATTTTTCAGCGAGCGTAACCACTGTTATAATTTTAAGCATTAAGAACGTCAGTAAATAATGACTTGTGATGTACATTTATTCATCTAATCTCATTACACCTAGGTTTCGATTAAACCATGCTGAATATGCAACAACCATTGAAAGCAAATTAAGCTGTAACTTATCACTAATATGCATTATTATTTTCACAGTTTTCCAAGATGGTCAGAATTTTTAATAAAGGCAAGATGTTATCGATCACAAAGAAAAAACGAGCCACCTCATTCATTATTTGTAACTTTGCGACAGAACAATGTTGTACAGTGGGAGAAGCAATTTGCTGTCATTCTTTAGCATTGTTGTACTGCACTGCGCATTTCAGCAATCTCCAACTAAAGAAAGTCCCCCCAGCTATCACTGGCACTATGCAATTACAATCATGGCATCATCCAAGAAGCGAAGGATTCAAGCAGCTGCTTATTCAAAAAATTATTATTCGAAATCCATCAGAACAATTCCAACTACCAACAACTGCCAACTATCAATAAATTGGAGTCGTATTTTTGCGATATTGGGATTTGTCAAACTTGATTTGTTCTTTCGCACTTGAGATTATTTTTAAGCAAGATATCGCCCTTTAAAAAAACACAATGTCTGGGCAAAATACGAACAATTGAAATTTATTTTATTGCATTCGGCTCCGTCGGTAGTTTCAGAATGAAAAAAGGTACATCGCGGATCGCGCGCACAATTGATTGCGTGCGGCTCCGTCGGTAGTTTCAAAATGGGAAAAAAGGTAGGCCTACATCGCGCGCACAATTGTACTTGTGTTTCGATTTCGCAGTTACTACAATGAAAACCTAACATAACACCAAATTTTGTGATTTGCAATGTCTATAAAAGCGTTTTCAATCCTAGGTGAGTCTGCTGAAACCAAACGTGTGATCTTCCATTTTAAGTTTTAGTTTTAATATTTCAGAATGCCGCTTTTTAATCAAGAAATTTGAGTTGCAGATTTATCTCTTTATTAATTATTATTTTTAGCATTTCGTCGCCGATGACTATAATATGGTAACATGTTTTTCACATTGAACTCATAATTCCCCACGAAAACACAAAAGCCATTAACGTCGTCATTGTGTAACAATACATGTATATGCAGAGGGAAATTTGAATCAGGGAGAATAAACACCGGCGTGAAGATGTTTAAAGGTTCAAAAACACGCCATGCTGAGGAAAAATCGGCGATTGTAACAAAATGCAATCGCGCACATTATTAGCGGCCTTTTAAGTCTTCCAAACATGTCAAAAGGGAAAAGATTCGACCATGTTTGTCAAGTGTCAAATTTACAGCTTTAGTATATATAATTTATGTTTGAAATTTAGATTTTTTTATGACTTGTATTAACCCTTTCAAAAAAGGTTCAGCATTTAAATTGAGTAAAGTACTTTTAACTTGCTCAGGAATATTAATCCGAAAGTAACAATTTTAACATTTATTTTGGGGCTCCGTGAATAATAGTTAACCTTTTCAAGGGCTCCGCAACACCAAAAGTTTGAGAACCCTTGCTCTAGCATATCAACAGATATGTGATGAGAAAAGTTTTGAATTCCCTCCTCTCCCTCTGTCTAGTTTGTCTCCACAGACTAACACGGTGTTAACAGAAATGCAACACAAAGTGATGCAAAATCTGACTTTGGGCAGAGAAGATTGTAAGTAAACACATTGAATTTATGACTCGAAATCAGTATAACTCTCCGATTTGGCACCAACAACGAAAATTAAGAATTACAGCATCCAAATTTGGCCGAATTTATAAACGTGTTTCAAATTTTGACTCCCTTGCTTCAAATCTTACTTCTTCCAAATTTTTTCAAACTGCAGCAATGAAAAGAGGTATCCAAATGGAACCAGAAAAATTATACGAGGAAATAAAAAATGCCAGTGTTCCCCATGTGGATTGGTAATATCTTCAACTTGTCCCTGGTTGGGGTGTTCACCAGATCGCAAAGTTTACGACCCATCTTGTGATGGCAACCTATGCTATGGCTTATTAGAAGTCAAATGCCCTATGTCTGACACTTTTGACAAGGTTTCAAAATGATAAAGGGGAATGGACATTGAAAATATATTTTCAAATAATGGGGTGTTTAGGAATCACAGGACTCAAGTGGTGTGACATCATTATTCTTTTACCTTCGGGTGCATGTTTTATTGATCGCATATGTTTTGATGATGCATATTTTCTGGACCTACCTGGAATCCTTTTTTTATGATCATTTCATAAATACGGTTGCAACAAACATGTCATCGTGAGGACAAAAATTTTTCACTATGTGAAATGTCTGAAGGATAATTATATATCAAGAGAAAAAACTTGCCTAGGCATTTATCTATTTTATTGCTTTAAATTTAGAATGTAGTAACCAGTTGCTTTGGGCTTTCAACTATTTTTCAATAAATTAGTATTTTGTGTATTCGCCATAGTGCAATTTGTTGAAAACAGGTGAGACAGGCAGTACAAAAGGCTATTCTGAATTTTCCCTTTTATTTTACTGTTAACCTAATATAATGTTGTGACACCCACACCCTCTGCTGTATATTCTAACAAAGCTAAGATCTTTAAAGGGACATAAAATATGTCCTAACTGCTCGAACTCAAAATAATTATTCAACAATAGACAAACTAAAACTGAAAAATAAAACTAAATAACTACTTCTAAAACAAAGGACCGCTAAAGTTGGTTAATAAGCAAGCAACGGTCCATAGTTGATTAACTGTTACTGTTCCTAGCATACTCAGTGGTATTCTGCCTTCAATTAACTGATATTCTTTCACCCTTCTGATTGCTCGTTCTACGTGGACTCTAAGTGAAGCAATCTTGCTGGACCGCAATGCATCATATGTGAACCGCCCGTTAAAGTTGAATGGAGGAATATTTAGACCCACACCTTTCACTTCCAAAAGACTCCTGATGGCAAATCCTTTGTCACACATTACGAAATCCCCTCTTTCAAGCAAACTCAAAATTCCAGATCTCCGGGTTATTTCATTGTCTGATACTGGGTGGTCTAAAAAATCGCTACTTCCATTATAAACTTCTTCGCTTACAGCAGACCATAGTGTTAAAGAGTTAGCAAAGTCAATCAATAAACAATAGGAACTAAAGCCAGTATAATATTTAATCATGGAGCTTGACGCCTTGAAAAGTTCCATACCGAATTTAGATATTGACAGCTTTGAAACTTGAGTTTTTAAATTCTCAAGTTTTTTTAAAGCTTGCTCAAGTTTTTCTTCAGCTGTTTTCACTACAATGCAGTAGTTGTGATCCACTTGAGTAGGATTAATGTGATTAAAACTCAGACTGCTGGTCCGACTGCTTGGAACAGTGGCATCATCAGTGGTTCTGAACAAATATAATAAAATTCATTAGCAAAGAAATCACATATTCATCCTGGGGAAAGGAAGGATGATAAGACGGCTCAATTATATGATGAACCAGATATCAGTGAAAAGTCATATTGTACCCAAATTACAGCTTCAAGTATTGAATCCTCTGCATTGCATGGGGGCTCCCGAAGTATGCGAACCAAGATGGCGGACATCGGAATGTAATATGTGTACTAGGTTAGGGTTAGGCCATAATTTTAGGTATAAATACTACGGGAGGCTCTCGGCTAGTCTTCGAACTGATAATAGGACTAAAATAAGGAAAATTGGAAAAAAATTACCGCCTAACCCTAACCTGTTACGTTCCGATGTCCGCCATCTTGGTTCGCATACTTCGGAAGCACCATTGCATGTATATGTGTAAATCAAAAACAAAATTGTATTTTTGCGCGTTTCAGTGTTGCTGAAAGTTTGTGTACTCACAAAAAGATTTGAGTCATTTTTTTCAAACGAGTTGCCACATGTGACCTGCCGCTCCATTATCTGTGGCCCGCATCACATTCGGAGAGAATCAAAAAATCGCATTTTGTAATAAAATTATTCAGAAAAATATTTTTACATCTCTAATGGCACTGAATTGACTAGTATTATGGCTAGCTGTGAGGCAACTAGCAAAGTTGAATGATGTGCTTGGTAGTCTAAATTAGTATCTGGCTTTCTATCTTTTTTGTCGGGAATATATGCTAACAATGTAGGCATCATAGAAAACGAAGAACCGAATACGGATTCTATTAGCCAGAGCAGGCTATGTCTTATAACTATGTGTTTGCATGATGAAAGTGTTTATTTTGTATTGCACTGTTTACCTATTCTTGGCACTATTGTGGCCCGCGAACAATGCAAAAATAATTTTGTGGCCCGCGGAGCCGACAATGTTGGACCACCCTGATATTCTAGACTTTTATAGTCTGTCAAAATATTTTTTCAAATTGGTTAATTTTCAATTTTGGTTTGATACTAGTATGGTGGTATAGTCTAATTTAAAAAATAATATATTCTGTTTTACCTCAGTCTATTTGGCAGTGGTCTCTCTGCAATTAACTTTGTCCAACTAAATTTTGATGGAACTGAGTTGTGGTGCAAACGGCGTCGACCAGAAGGCGTCTCATATAGCCTATGTCTTCGGGTCTGAAATGGTTGCCACAAACTCGTGTGCTTGGTGTAATCTGTGAGTCAAAATAAACTAGCTGATACAAACTGAATAAATAACACCAATTAAAGTGAAGCTAGGCTTCAAGGAATTAATGTATGCCACCTAATAATAATATAGGTTATCAAGTTTAGCTTGATTCCCATAATCAGTACACCAGGAAGATATTGACAAAATAAACACTTATTAGTCCACAGAATCAGAAGAGCCCTAACTAAGATTTGAAAAGAGCAGAAGTTAAATTAATTTAATTAAGTGATTCAAGAGTCTTGCTGCACACTAAGACTCACAGCAAGACTCTTAAATCACTTAGGATAGTTAATTTTACTCTTGCTACAGCATTCTTGCATTATATGCATACCGATCCGCCGGCACAAAAGCATAGAAGAAGGATAAGTAGTTAGTTTCGTAGAAATCAAATCATTAGTTAAATTAATTGTTGCTAAAACTGCAAAAAAAAGTCGTAGGCTGTGCTCACCTTAAATACACTCACATATGGCCTACAACCGCATAGATATAGCCTAATAACTAAAGTAGAAGCGAGAAGAGAAAATCAGGGTCAAAACTAAAATTAAAACCAGAAGAAAAAGAGTATTTGCCACAATATACTGACTTACTTGAAAATGTTTACCAGGATCGCGACGAATACTGTGAATCCACGCTCAATCAATCAATCAATCAATTTTATTTGGTCACTCTGATACTAACAAAACAACAACAAAGGGACAAACAAAATACAGAGGACCTGGAGGACGGGCATAACTTAATAATAAAGTTAAATACGTACAAGAACGTGCCCGTCCCCCAAAAACAGTCAGAACACAATAAAAAAAAAACACGATGTGACATCGGGCAATATCTTATAAATTCAAATTAAAATGTGAGACGTGTATGTGCTTTTCCTATAGATATATGGATTAAAGAACACTCGCTGCCGAAAAATGGTGCTGTTGTGGGCCTAGTTCAATTATATTGCAAAAGTAACACAGTGACAAATTTTTTTTACTAGAAAACAAGCTCGGTAAATGGATTGGATGTTCCATAGCAGTCTATGCACAAATCATGGATTGGGGTGTTGGGTTCTTTTGTCGTTTTCGATTAGTTCAGTTTAAAATCATTGTATCCGTTCCAATGCCTCCAACACCAATATCGAATTTCCACGAACAACCACCATTCAGCCATTCCAACAGGTGCAGTCGTCCCATCTTTTTTACGCTCTGTTCCATCATCCACGACTAGATTCATAAAAGGATCGAAACCTCGCAATATACCCGTAACAGATCCACCATTTAACTTTAAATCCAATCTTTTATCCATAAACTTCTTTAATTCCAGTGGATGAGCTTTGCTGATGTTGATATTACGAGATACAGATACCGAAACATATAACGCGTAGCATTCACTAGTCTTTTCCAGCTGACACGTCCGCACCCGACGACGGTCGGACACATTCATTTTTGGGGAAAGAGTGGAACGGTAAGTCTGGTGAGTAACGGCTATCGCCATTACACAACGGTACGCAGCAATGCAATTTGGAACCACCAGACGCACGAGCCGCCATTGCAATCGAAAAGCCCAAACCAGTCCAACGTCGCGGGGAAGCAGAAGACAGTACTTTCCGCGCATGGCAACGCTCAGCGGCGATAATGAATACCCTTCATTCCGACGAATAAATACAACTTTTCATCTGTGACGTCATAAGGAACGCGATTGTCAAATGGTTAATTATGACGATTAGAATGACCAATTTACTTCGGAAGCAACTCGGAACCGGTATACTTGTCTCCAAAGACAATTGAATGTACTATAAACGTAATTTGACAAACATGAACGGATATAAGCATGTACGGCTAAGATTCTACTTCAAAACGCGACCTTCAAAATTTTTCTACCTAAAATATTAGTGAAAATAATAGGTATGTTTCAATAATTGTGTGCGAACTTCTCATAAGGCGCCGTGTTAAATTGCCGAGAACAATAGGCACAAGATGGCGTCCATTACGGACTTTCATACGAACCATCGGAGCGTGACGGCTGCTGCCAGACACTGTTTTTTCCTCACTCTTGGGGGACGCGGCGGTTTCGCTTTTCATTCGCGAGTTTGAGCTGTTGCTTGGTTGAGGGCCAATGTTGCACCTGGAGTATACTGGATCAGGTGGAACTCGTAATATCTTTTTCGAAGGTATAAAATACGGTACCGTACTATATATACTATGCTGACTATATTGGATAGGATGTCCGGCTACCAGTACTGCAGTACCTGGTAGCACTGAAGTCCGGTACGGTACCTGCCATACAGTTCTTCAAGTTGTGTCAATGCCACTGCTTACTACCGCGTTTCCCCGAAAATAAAATCTTGTCCGAATTATGAAAATTATTGTAATATAAGCCCTTTAGAATGATAGTCCATACCTAAATTAGAAGAAATTGTAACTTTATGGCAAATTTGTGGAGCGAAATCACAGGCTGAAAGACGTCTGTTTGCTGTTGCTGACTTGACTACCGTACATAAGGTGAATATAAGTTGTAATCGGAAACCTCACAAAAATACAATTGACAGGAAATCGCGAAGGACCAGAAATGGTCATCATAAGTCAACGACACCTAGATTTAGGACGAGTCAAAAGTAAAAATTGCAATTGAAGAAAGCAATGGATACAAAGAGAAACTTAGTCATTCAAAAAATTACCAACAAAACAGGGGGTGATATAAATATTCATATACAGTAGCATTTGGAAGAGAGAAAAAAAAAAACATAAGGCGGGACACCAACATTTGAAATGAGTCAAAAATTGAAATAATAAAAAAAGGTAACGGTAGAGAATATCAGTCATTCGAAAAAATTGTCCAACAAGGGGAGGGAGGGTAAAGATTCCTGTGAAACATCACATATAATTTTAGAATGAGATAAAAAAAAGTCTGGGAAATACAATAAGACACGGTAGTTTTGAGAAAAAAAAACGGTTTAGCATATCAATTTGCTGAACTTCTGTATAATGGCAACTATTAAATATTGTCACTTGCAACATCAAATCGAGCTATATTTTTTATTTGCAGAAGAATAAATAAATAAAAAATTACATAACTTTTAGGTACGAATGCGAAAGCAGAATTCATACTTCATGTACATCCAACATATGAGATTTGAAAGTGAGAAGAGAAAATGATGCAGTTTAAATCTGACTGTGAAATAGGAAAAACAGTCTCGGTGAACTTATTGCCAACCAACTAACAAATGTCAGTGGGGCCATCAAAAATACAGAGAACAGAAACATATTCAACCCTTATAAGTCTAAAGGTGATTGCATGAGTAATAGAAAATTTAGAATGATTGGGGTGATTGAGGTATGTCCAAAATCAATTCATCGCGACTGTAAAAGCTATCATTTTCATTCCCAAAATCACCACCATTTTATACAATTCATGATTCGTTCGCTGTTCTACATAGGTAATATATTCAAAAATTTGCATTGCACCTTATTCATCATGTATGTTTTTCTCAATATATTTCAGATGGTGATTATACAATCGCATAAAGAGCTGTGGTGAAGTTCAAACAAAGTGTACCCTTGCTAAGCATTCTTGGTTGAAAAAGTTGAATTGTGTTCTCATGTTGTTGCAATATATTTTGAACCTACTTATGTTGGGAATTCTAAATTAAGCAAAATATTATTGTGTTCAAATTTGAATAAAAAAATTGTTTCTTTTTTATTGCTGTTGCAACCAAAGCCAGTGTAATAAGACCAGATCCCAATTTATTGTAAATTTGAGACATAACTTTCTTCAAAAAATTAAGTCTACCTTGATCCCAATTTATTGTAAATTTGAGACATAACTTTCTTCAAAAAATTAAGTCTACCTTAAATTTCAAATGCCATTCACTTATTAATTTCTTGCATATCACCATTATTGCAATTTATACAAATCAACTTATGTAAAATTTCATTTTTAATAAAAATAAAAAATATCATAATTATTGTTGAGTGTTCGAGGGGTGCGAGTTTGACATCCTCAGGTCTACCGTGCTGAGAATGCATCCAAATGATATCCAGGCTTCAGCCCTAATCATCTATTAAACAAATTCCACATCCAGTAGAGCATTTATGCAGAGTCCCAACAACTTGGGGGATCATTCCTTTTCCTAATTTTAAATTGTAATCTTCTTATTAAAACATGATTGGTACCTAATCAAGAGTGAAATTTCCTTTCTTGATAGCTGCTTTCTCCCTCCATATAGTTACATTCTTTGCAGTTCATTACAATATAAAATACAATTTTATTTCGATTACTTTTACTTTGCAAAGTAGGCTACGTCATTTCATAGATAGCTCTAGGTATGTAATCCTTTTCCTCTGGAAAGTTTAGCTCCCAAATATCAGGCAAATCCTGCTCGGTGTATTCCAGTGCAATGACTGAATGAGAAAATCCAGTCTGCCAGTACCATCACTTTTGAAGTAGCTCCGACTGATTTGTGTGACTGTGTAACAGAGCAGCTCAAATACATAACAGATACAAGCTAGTCTGTATTCAATCTATAAATGAGAAAAAGACTGTTGAAAAAACGCTAACACACAGCGATATATTTAAACAAGTCAAAGCAACGCACAAGTATAAACCTGACGAAACGTGCTACGCAACGAGTGTCCCCCTAAACAGCACAAAAAAAAGGAGCTGGCAGCATCGTCAAAGGTCATGAAAGTTGGTAATTGTCTGAGCGTTGCCTCGCTTATATTATATAGTGGACTTGCACGGGTCACGTGACCTTGTTACTGGACGGCAATAAAACAAAAACGTCCATTTGGCTCCTGTCAGTTGCAAGTCGGATTATACGTTTCCGTTTTGTTTGGCCGTTGAAAATGGTTATTTCGTATTGTTCCGCTGGCTGTACGTATAGTATAGACAACGAAATGGATCTTTAGCTATATTCCACTGTTTTCAAAAGATCCGGAACGTCGCGCAATGTGGATATCTTCTATTGGCAGGACTGCTTGGTGTCAAGTCCAGAAGCCATCTTACTTGTGTTTCACTGTTTGCGGACAGCACTTCGTTGATGGTGAGTCATGATGTGCCGTTATCAATTTTTTTAAATATTCATAAGCTCCCTCATTTCAATGAAAACAGATAACAAACTACTGTTATTGAGAGGCTTAGGCCTACTTGCAGACTTGACTCGTGTAAGGGCCTACTTGCAGACTTGACTCGTGTAAGGTATTAATCAATAATTGCCATAAGGTATTGTTTCCCTAGTTAGCAGGTAATCTATTAGTAAGTGTGAAAATTTGAATAGATAACTAAAGTTTAACGCCAGTGCAAATGCAAAAAATAACCAGAATTCAATTGAATTCTCTATCTGAGAATACGCTCGCCACCACATCTCTGATCCCCCTGGGAGTTTCACAGGTTCCAATCCCATGCAGGGATAGTTATGTGCGAGGGGATTGCAGCTCTCCTCCCACTAAGGATGGTTCACACGACCGCTGGTCGATTACGACCTCCCCCACCATCAAGTCCATGCTTCTAAAACAAACAACTGGCTAACTAATCCCGACATAGAATGGTAATCGTACGATGTTGCACCTTGCAATCTGTCCCCAACCACAGATAAATTCTATCCTAAAAACTAACCACATTGGTAGGCATAGTTGCGTTTTAAATTGAAAGAAATCTTCATTAATGGTCAGAAGGTGTTGTCTGATTGTTTTGTTAGTTAGTAGGTAATTTATTACTGATCTGATACACAAACTTGGCACTGTCAAATGATGATTAGTGTGTAATTTATTTTCAGGAAAAAGGGAAGATAACCCATTAACAGCTGCTTACATGTCCCATCGATATTTGAATTTTCGCCATCCCCAGAGAAGAAGAGAATAGTTAAAAAAAGGGAGGATTTTGAAGAAAGGCAAAAGGCAGGACCATTTCAGCAAATTCTGTTAACTTGTATGCGTTGCAATATTAATTCACAGTTGTTAGCATAAACATTTAATGTGTCTTTCGACTAGACCTACCACACTTTATAAAAAAAGCCGCCTACACCCCTTTTCACTAGAACCATAATACTGTAAAATATTTGATATAAATTACCTCCGAGGCATCATCTTTCATTTGAAATGGCTGTGGAGGCAGATACATTTTTTACTCTAAATTATGGAATGTTACTTCCAGGTTATCTTATCCTTGCTTATAGATATCTTGAGGTTAGTGACTCCAACTGACCCATGCATGCCACACTGAAAATTCTCTTGTGTACCCATAAAATAAGGCTGTTGGAGCCTTCAGACCTTGAAAACAGTCGAATCTGAGCACGATGGATTCATGTGAAACACGTAATATGCATTTAGAGGCAAAAATATCCCATCCTGAGCAGCACCGATCCACAACCTCCTGCCTATGGAATCAAAACATTAGACAAATTACACAAGTTAAGTCTGCAACTAGGCCTACTAATAACAGTAGTTGATTATTGAAATGAGGGAGCTTGTGAATATTTAAAGAAATTGATAACGGCACACTATCACTCACCATCAACGAAGTGCTGTCCGCAAACAGTGAAACACAAGTAAAATGGCTTCTGGACTTGACACCAAGCAGTTCTGCCAATAGGCAATAGATGATATCCACATTGCGCGACGTTCAGGATCTTCTGGAATCAGTGGAATATTACTGAAGATCCATTTCGTTGTCTATACTATACGTACAGCCAACAGAACAACGAAATAACCATTTTCAACAGCCAAACAAAACGCAAACGTATAATCCGACTTGCAACTGACAGGAGCCAAATGGACGTTTTTGTTTTATTGCCGTCCAGTAACAATGTCACGTGACCCGTGCAAGTCCTCTATATAGGGTTCGCCCTGAGCTATCCCTCAAACTTCACATGATTTCATGGAATTGATTTTGTATTACAAAGAGCGGGCCTCCGGTCCAGTGACGCAGATACGCCATTCAAAAGGGGGTCTTTGGACGGGTGTGTCAGCGGCTCTGGAATGGTACATTAACCAGAAACTGGAGATTGTAATTAGCGATATGGTTTCAGTATGCCCTTCTTCTGCTGTTTTAATCAAACCAAAAAAAATATGGCTATGAAATCACCATGCGGAGCAGGCAAGCGTAGTTGGTACCGTATCTATTGTGACCACAGAGATATTCAGTGATTGTGACTCGTATCAGTTGGTACCTCTATCGCTTACGCCTCTATCTATTTCGAACCCATGGAAAAGGAAAAGTCAAATGCAGAAGGGAAGGATTGAACAAGGGATATATTTAACAAATCATTGGATAACAAGAAATATGAATTCAACAGAAGAAATATTTAGTTTTAGGGAAAATTTTCGCACCATGAAGTTACTAGAGATGTCTAGATTTCTACGACTATTAAGTTCATTTATTTTGTATAATCTGAAAAGTTCATTTCTGTAAACCTTGAAAACTGACAATCGATGTTTACATTATTGCGTAGACGTTTATATATAATCGATTTTATGGCAATCAGTCGATAGTTTGTTTTTTATATTTTCAAGCACGAAACGCCGGCATCGGTTTGCACATTTTCATCTAGAAATAATTTGTTCGATTAAAGAGTGTATGTTGAAGGATTTTAAAATAATATGCCCGGAAAAGTTGCTCGACGTGTATTAGAACTGGCAGCTGACTCGTACGAACAACTTCCGTCAGTTGGAAAAAACTTTTAAGCCCTTACACTGGCTATAGACGAGAGCACGGATCTCACAGATACTGCCATGCAGTGTTCCCTCTAAAGTGTGCGCGTGTGCGCGCGCACACAGCTTTTAGAGGCTGCGCACACGCATAGATTAAATGCGCACAGACGTATTTCGATGTAATGTAACAATGTTCTCGGTTGGCAGGTTGAGAAAGTTTGTTGTTGGCCCACCCATTACCCGGTTAGAACGCGAAAATTTTTTCATTGGTTTTGCACAAATATTAGTCATTTCCAAAAAAGTGCGCACACACCAAAATTTCTGCGCACACATACTACAAAAAATTAGAGGGAACATTGCTGCCATGTCTGCTTATTTGGCGAGGCGTGGATAAGAAGTTGAACATCACCGATGAATTGTTGGATTTGATTCCATTAAAGAGAACAACGACCGGAATGAATACATTTCGTGCTTTGGAAAATCGTGTCGAAGAACAAATTTCGACTGGCATAAGTTGGTATCAGTGGCCACAGATGGGGCGGCTGCCATGCGGTTAGAAATGTGGGTTTGGCAGCGCTTCTCCTAAACAAGATGCTTAGCTTGGGTGTATATATCCAAGCAATCCACTGTATTATTCACCAAGAGGCCCTCTGTACCAAGAGTTTAGAAGTGAACAATATTATAAGCATTGTTGTAAAAACTGTGAATTTCATTTAATTGCGGGCTTTTAACCATCGGCAATTCAAATCTTTCCTCGAAGCAAGTGAATATGGTGAACTGCTACACCACATTGATATCCGCTGGCTTAGTCGTGGTAGTGTACTGAAACGATTATTTGCAATGAGAGAAGAGAGTGGTTTGTTCCTGATTTTAAAAGACGCTGATATATCAGAATTGGGTGACCCGAAGTATTCAGAAGTCAATGTTCCAGAGTTTTACCGGTACGTGTCCGAAGGATGGTTCCCAAAGTTAATTGCACACTCACGTCGAATATATTGGCAGTATATATTGCGAGCAGTTTTTTTTTCAACAATGAAAGTTAACAAATCAGCTCTCCGCACACGAAAAACATTTGCATGCTGTCTTAAGATCAGCAAACTTCCGGAGGTCCATTTTTTGTGTATCAATTTTGTACCTAATTTGTTGGTTTGTGGCCCGCGCCGTCATTAAAGGTCAAAAAGTGGCCCATGGCATATTTTGAATCGGAGACCCTTGGCCTATAGTTACAGGTACTGTCAGCATGACAAACACTTTGTGTAAAGTGGGTTCATTATATATAAACAGAAGCACTTTCATAATTTTAATATCATTCTACTACCGCGACGATACTAACATTGAAGTTTTGAATTTGTAACGGCATGTACATCTAGGTTACATATGTCAGCTAAGATGAGGCATCACGAAGCTCGTTCTGTGCTCGGTTTATTACAATAAATCCTTGCCACATTTAGATTTCATTGTCTGTTTCAAAACTATAAAATATCATGTCCTTAGTCCTTACGCGGCAGCGGCATAGTACCAGGTACCGGTGTTTCAAATTTGTGTCCAACAGCAACAGAATAGATGTGGAAGACGATTGCATTGAACTTGTGATTGTCTAGCTTAAATTTTATTTTTGAAAAAAGGAACATCATTTATCAGAAATGAAAAAAAAACTTCCATGGACCTTTCCCCGACCTTTGACCCTCGGAAAATTCTCCCTATACTTTACCATTGCAAAATTGTCAGAGCTATTTTAAGAGTGCTTTTGTGAGTTGGCGCCTGTAAAATGGGGTATGTGTTTCAAACCATCATTATGATTCATCGCATACAACGATCTGTTTTTTAAAAGTACCGGTAAAGAATTTCAGGCTAGTCTATCACAGCTATTTCTACACTAACTTTTATCACTGCAAATTAAAACTCCTAAAAAGACAGAGTGATCATTGAATTATCTGATTTTTATTCAAGTTCCCAAAACACAACTGAAAACTAACGAATAGAGTTCAAAAATGCGAAAACGAGGTAATGTTTACAATTACGCTTGAAAATCTGTCTGAGTGAGAAAAGTGTCTGAGCGGATGCAAAAAGGAGGCATTGTTACGTCACTTTTTGCATCTTGCTGATTGGCCAATGTCACGAAGTAAACAAGGAAGTCGATGCTCGGGGAAAGGTCCATACCCCTTCGATCAACGTGCGTAACGGCGAATTATCGTGTAGCACGAGGCAACTGAGCAAGAGCGGTGCAGCTAACTTCCAGACCTCCTCGATGGGTAGTCCAATGTTGTGGACCGAAAGGCTTAATTTGAAATTTCACTCGAACCACTGAAGCGTGAAATAGTTTCTTTTATAGTCTGCCAGACTGGTTCCAGCGGACATGTAATCAGGCCTAATCTACACCAAATCTCGCAAGTCGCTAAAACGAATAATGACTCTCGAGTGCCTTGAATTATTGGATTCAGCTGGACGAAGACCCATAAATGGACACGGACTGACTTAAACGTGCGTCAATAGCTGACCCTATAAAATAAGGAATGCGAGCTTAACTTTCTCCAGTTTCCATCATCATCAACTTATTAAAAATGATCGTCCAGTTTTGCCTCACATATTTCGTACTTTCGATTTCAAGTTAAGTCCACTATCTGGCGGATCAAGCACAAAAAGCTGTTAACTTTACTCGTAACGCTTTTTATGTTGTGCAAATATATTTACTTTGTATTATCTTTATTAGAAAGGTTTGCTAACACCCGAAATCCGACGGTTACTGTCCTTTATAGTTATTGCAATACATTGTGCTTTCAATACGTCACACATGCGTTAGTAGCTCGTGACACCTCCAGCTATCAAAAATAACTTATTGTCTTAGACGAACCTGGATATTCAGCGATCAAAATATGCGTTAGTAGCTCGATACTCCTTCAGCTATCAAAATACCTTAAACGAAACTGGATATTCAGCGATCAAAATGAAAGTCTTTCTGGGTGGTTCAAATACCCGGCACTAACCTGCATATTTGTATAGAGCAGTAGAGATAGGACTCGTTCGTTTTTACCGCCCACTTTCATTGACGACCGTTCTTCTGAAAATGACTGTCGTCTGGTTTCGGAATAAAAATTGAATTCTCCAAGCCGAATAAGCTAGGAATACGAAACACATATTACCAAGTAATTTCTGTAATTTGTCTTTACACGTTCAACCCAGCATAATTTTATTGTTTGTAAGCTTCAAACAGTTCTTTCGTTGGCTTCTCACTTTTGTAAACTAGATCATTCAATACAAATAATCAGTAAACCAATTTAAATTCAGAATGCTTGTGTATGGCGAAAATAAATATCATGCAATATTGCTCAGCTAATTGTGCTAGATTCTCTAATGTTCATATTTCTTTTGTCATATTCACTGCATATTTATCCAACAGCAGAATAAACGAATGAAACTTGATAGTATTTGTCTCTCTTGATTCCTGCATATATATATCAATTGTGATTTTTGACCTCTTTTGAAGCCTTTCGTATTATCGAATGCTAGTCATTGTCAAGTCTGTGTCCCGTGCAAATCTTTACGTCAAATTCATTTCGTAATTTGTTCTGTAAAAACGTATCAATTGGCAACCTATACCGGAATAAATTTTGACACCGCAACCCTATACATGAACCTGTCATAATCACTAACTGATTTTTGGAAATATCGTCGCTATACCGTATCTTTGTCGTATGTATCGTTTGAATTTTACTGGTATATTTTTATTATTTTATGTATATTGTCGTATAATAACGCAGCATTTGTAAACTGCTCTTATACTTGGGGAAGGTACACCTCACACAACATATATATTTTATATGAACTGAGTGAGCATAATTACGGCGGCTGATGAGATGATTGAACTGTTAACTGTTTTCTAAAGATGTCGTAATACCTATGGTTGTATGGGTGATATGAAACAATTTTGATGGCTAATGATTCTACTGATTGAGAAACGCATTGGGAAAAACAGGTAAGGACGTCTTTAAATTTGTATTTACGAACATATCACAACATAAACTGTGAAGTGTCGTGCGTGAACCACAGTATGGCGTTGAAAATGGTCGGCACCAGGATGTTCAGCTAATTTAAAAAAAAAATAAAGTTTGAAATTATTGCTGTTTGTTTGTGTTTTTATAAATTTGTATTGTCGAAATGACTGTTTTTTTTATGTATTATCCAAAGTTGAATTGTGATTTATATTATCAATTTTATTCTGCGAAGTAACAGAGTTGATGAATAAATTTAGGGCTTGCGGTAATGTTGTGTAGAATTTATTAGAACTAGAGAATTTCAACAAACATTTCTTCAGAATTCATAAATTTAATCAATCTTGTAAGCCCTCCCCTCCAAGATGTGATTGGATTGTAAATCCATTATCTCTTGCTGTTTACAATATCAAGAAAAGGATGCAACTTTTTGATTTAACAAAACTTAAATTCAATGTAACCAGGCCACACAATGTTCCTTTCGCGAGACCTTGAGGGTTAATTGAACGCAGTTTTGTAGCAAACGAGCGCTGGCTAACTCAATGGAAGTCGTCTTCTTTGGCCAATGGTAAAAATACGATAGATTTGCTTTGATTTTTCGTATTCTCTATTAATTTTAAATTGTTTGCTTTTGGCCTATTTGTCTTACAATATTTCGAATCAAAGAGTGTGGCAGGAAATTGCCAGTTACATATTCGTGAATTTACTCCCAAATCGTACTTTGAATCCGTATTATAAGATGAGCTAATGAAATAATTATGCAGCAGTTGCAATTGTAGAAAACTTGATGCAATAGTGTTTGACTTTTTCCTAGATAAATCGATCGACTTGCAGTTTTTCAAAGGTTCGAACTGTCATTACAATTGTGCGAAATCTATTTAACTTGGACGGCTGAATTTGAGTAGACAGAGTGTATAACCTTCATGTTGATCCCATTTTGTCTAAAATTGGTATAACATCAGATTTGTGTACCTGATGCAAAATCCACAGACTCTTATAAGCAATTAATTGAATTCTTTCAGTTCATAGTATTTATTTACAGAGCGTAAATGTGAGCATTCGACCTATCAGTGACAGACGCATGTTCAAGCATGATAAATACAAATTTCGTGTGAAAAGATACTTTGGAGACTCGATCCCGTGCCTCGCCCGTAGAGCGTGAAAGTGAGCATTCGATCTATCAATGACAGACGCCTGTCCAAGCATGCTGGATATAAATTTCGTGTAAAAGGACTCGATCCCGAGCCTCGCCGTATCGGCGTGCGACTACTTTGTAGTTACTGAGGCGTGTGAATAGTTTTAAGAAAACGCGCGATATTCATTCCACGCTGATGTTAATGTCAAAGGTTGAACTAGTTGGTATATCGGTCAGTTTATTCCGCTACGTTTTGCTTAACTCTGCTGGTAATTATAATCATGCATTTGTGAGAATGTGATGAAATAATTTTACATAACGTTTTCATGGAAAAAATTGCACATTCACTTAATTTTTGTTTTTAATTTTTTGTACAAGGCAGATGCGTTTTAAAGACCTATCAAGCGCCTTCACTCCTTGCGGTTGTTGGTTTATTTTTCCACAAGTTTCGTTAATCGTGAATTTGAGAGAGAGCGTTTTTACGGTTTCCTTTAAGTTTGGGCGATGTCGGAGGAAGGTGATCAATTTCCCAAATGCTCCACTACACATGGTGGCTCTGATAGGACTGGCGGGCATTGTAATGGCGATATAGCAAATGAAAACACCCAGAGTCAAATGGCAGTTAGAACTGCGAATGGACGAGTTAGTGCTGTTTCGAATATTGGTGAAAATCTTGATATAAGTGTGAAACAAGAGTGTGATGTTGGAGATGCTGAGAATATAGAAAACTTCTTAGACAATCTGATCAAAAATGAAGAAGCTATTCCTATCAAGCCTGAAAAAAGCGATATTGCAATGGGCCTTTCACCAGCAGATGGAATTGAAAACGTTAATGGAGAGGCTTTGGCATATGCTGATTCGGACAAGCATGCAACTGTGGAAAATTTAGCTGAGATTGTCTGTCCAAAAACAAATCGAGCGTCTCTTAGGCAAAGAAAGCGTAAAGAATCGCTTCCTGCGAAGGTTGAACCAATAACTCCTGTGGCCGTTCTTGTGAAAGAAAAACTCCCTCCTGTAGAGCGACCTATTAATTGGTTCGAAGGTGAACTAGTTTGGTCATTTGTCACCGGACATCCATTGTGGCCATGCATGGTAAGCATTGACCCAGAGTTGGGTGTGCATAGCAAACTTATGGGCTGTGGAACATCGTCACATCGATCTTATCATGTACAATTTTTCGGAGACTCACCTGAACATGCATGGGTGAATGATTCCAGAGTTTTCAAGTTTTCTAACAAAGACGAATATGAAGATCTAGTTAAAAGCATTGCGAAGCGAACGCAAAAACGTCCTCCTAAGGTTGAAATTTCAAGTAGGTTTCATGATAACTGGCATGCTGCTATAGATGAAATATCATTGGCTGTAATGATCACAAGCAAACAGAGGCTAGAAAAGTATACTTTTGATTATGTTAATAAAATACCACGGAAACCATTAGATGGAGGTTCAACTGTTAGAAAAAAATCTTCTACCAAAGCAGATACTCCCAATACAAAGAAAAAAATTGGTAATGTGAGCCCTAGTCAAAAAACTATCACAAAGCTAACTCCAAAGCAAAAATCTAACATCATTACAAGTGATTCTTTGACCAAGAAAAAAACTGGCATTCCTAAGAAGACTGCTTCTTCGTCAATCCAAAAACTTTCCTCAAATAGTGATTACTCAAAACTCGTAATTGGAAATAAAAAAGTGAATTCATCTACTATGCCACATGCACAGGGTGAAGAGCAGTCACCTAAATCATATGTTTGCATGTACTGCCAAGACATTTATTTTTCTGTCGCTGACATGCGTGATCATTGCAAAGAAAAACACTCAGACGGAAAAAAAGTGATTGGTAAAAGGCAGCCTAAAACAGGCGAAATGCCGAATATTTCTCCTATTGAATGTTTGCCTAATAACTCTGTTTCTGAAAAATTGACATCGGATGAACTTGATGTACCATGTGACGTTTGCGGTGAGAAGTTTGCAAGCAAAAGGTCATTGGGGCAGCACAAACGCTTTATTCACCCGAGCGACTGTTCGGTAGAGGTGAAAGCTATTTCTGATCAGACCAAAACAAACATGCCACAGTCTATTATTGCTATTCCAGTAACTTTAAATAAGCCAAAGAGTGAATCACCTGTTCCAGCTGTTCGATTGCGGTCACGATCCCTTGCAATTTCACAAAATAAAAAAGGGCCTATTTGTGTTTTATGTGAAAAAAATGGGGATGTTGTTTCTTGTACCTCCTTGTGCCATAGATCTTTCCATGTTCAATGTTTAGGAGATTATGATGTCAGTGATCCATTTGTCTGCAAAGATTGTGTAAATAAAACTCATTTGTGCATTATTTGCAATCAAACCAGCATTGATGGTGATGGCCTGGGTGATTTGAAGCGCTGTGTGGTAGCCCTGTGTGGTCGTTTCTTTCATTCAACTTGTTTGCAAATTTACAAATTGAAAGGGATCTCTGATGTCGGAGATAAAAATATCGTAAGTGGTCCTTCTGCCAGGTGCCCTTCTCATTCATGTGCTACTTGCATAAGCAAAGCATTAGTGGATGATATGAGAGGTGGAAATCAAAGCCAAAAATTGAAAGTTCAAAATAAATCAAGGATGTTCAAGTGTATTCGATGCCCAACTTCATATCATGTTGGGGATGATTGCCTTGCGGCAGGATCAGTCCTTCTGGGTGGACTGAGCATAGTTTGCCCAGAACATTTCAAGCCTTCAAAAACACTAAATCACCACCATCCTGTTCACATTAGCTGGTGCTTCGTCTGCTCAAAAGGAGGGGAACTCATTTGCTGTGCAACGTGTCCTGCTGCATTTCATGCAGAATGTATCGAATTGGATAAAACTCCAGAAGGTGATTGGCATTGTCTTGATTGCACCTGTGGTGTCCGTCCACTGTATGATGACATTATATGGGTTAAACTGGGAACCTATAGGTGGTGGCCTGGCCAGGTCACCCATCCCAATGACGTACCTGACAACATTTGTCGCTTACAGCATGGCGCAGGAGAGTTTGTGGTTCGATTCTTTGGCTCGAATGACTATTTCTGGCTTAGCAAATGCAGGGTATTTCTTTATCAAGAAGGAGATAATGGTGCTACAAATAGACACTGCTCTCGTGGCATCAGTGGAGTTTTCAAAAAGGCTCTTCAAGAAGCGGAGGAAAGTTTTGCTCAAGTAATGGCAGCACGACAACTTCAGGAAGAAGTTAAGATCGCTGTAAACGACAAAAAACCAGCCCCATACAAACACATCAAGGTGAACAGGCCTGTGGGCAATGTACAAATATATTCTGCTCCTTTAAGTCAAATGGCAAAGTGTGTATGCAAGCGCAATGATAATCACCCCTGTGGTCAGGATTCAGAATGTCTCAATCGTATGCTGATGTATGAATGTCATCCAGCGGTTTGTACAGCAAGTGAGAGATGTGAAAATCAAAGGTTCCAGAAATGTGAATATCCTCCAACAGAAATATTTAAAACAGAGTGGGGTGGCTGGGGCTTAAAGACGAAAGAGTTCATCAAAAAGGGCCAATTCGTTAATGAGTATGTGGGTGAGCTTGTGGACGAAGAAGAGTGTCGAAGGCGTATTGAGCAGTCGCATAAGGATAATGTTACAAACTTCTACATGTTAACTATAGACAAGGACCGAATCATTGATGCGGGCCCAAAAGGTAATTATTCCAGGTTTATGAACCACTGCTGTTTGCCAAATTGCGAAACCCAAAAGTGGATGGTGAACGGGGATACAAGAGTTGGACTTTTTGCTCTTCGTGACATAATGCCGGGAGAGGAATTGACATTCAACTACAACCTTGATTGCTTGGGTAACGACAAGACCAAGTGTGTGTGTGGATCTAAAAATTGCAGTGGATTTATTGGTGTTCGACCAAAGGCCCAGATTGATGGCATCAAGCGAGAAAGGAAAAAGAAACGCAGGACACGAAGATTGGATAGCATACCTCAACATGATGATTTCTGCTTTCGTTGCAGGCAAACTGGAACCCTGGTTTGTTGTGATTTTAAGGGATGTTTGAGAGCATTTTGCTTGGAATGTCTTCATATAGAAAAACCTCCTTATGGAAAATGGGAATGCCCTTGTCACCACTGTGACTGGTGTGGAAGGCGTGCTCAGTATTTCTGCAGCTTTTGTCCAAACTCATTTTGTGGCTCTCATGTACATAATCAATTAACTCCTAGTATTCCCAATAAATTTGATACCTGCAATGATCACGACCCTGAGAAAGCAGAATTTGAAATGGCCCAAGTTGTGGCAATGGTCAATGATTTGGTTAATGCACCAATGGAAGAGGAGACTTCCTCAGAACCATCACCAGCAGATAGTCCTTCAAATCTAATAGGAAATCATATTGATGAATTACCTCTGCTACAAACAGAATATCAACCAATCGCAAGAAAACGGAAAAGGAAGTCCACTGTTGGAAGCAATGAAAAGAAAAATAGAACAACTGATACAGAATGAGATATTAGGTCAGTTTTATAGGAACAAATAGGTTGATTTTACCTATATTTTTGTTCTTAAATAAACATGGAATTTGAAGCAATTTTGCATTGGCATGACATGGTTGGTGAACTCTGAATGCTGTTACCTATTTTATGATTTCATTGCATGGTTAATAAAGTAACTTGACTATCCTTATGGTTGAATGCGCCAAACAAACTCAAAATAAGAGATTTTCAATGTTCAAAAAATGACATACCGGTAGATATGTTTGAACTAAGGACAAGTTTTGTGGTCAGATATGATTGATTCAATTTCGTGTAAGAAGTTTTAGGCTTTGCTCCTAATTTAAAATGAAGGCATTGTAGGTGAATTTTGTTTCTGGGGATCTTGGAAGATTTAGAAATCGATGCCCCATTGGAAGTTTGTTTAAATGAAAACATTGAAGGGCTATCCCAAATAAACTATTCAGATAAAGAATGACTGTTATTCACACTTTTGCAAATTGATTTCAAGTCCAGTTTTCTGTAAACGTGTTGACTGTTGAGCCATATGGTTATTGCATTTGTCTGTGGCAAATTTTTAGTTATCGATTCAAAATTTTACAAAATCTAAAGATTCATCGTTGTACGCCGATTACGAGATTGGTGCTTTTCGAGAGCTTGATAAAATCTTAAACCGGAAAAATATGAGATGATACAAGTAAAAAAAAGTCATGACTCATAGTTTGATTGGTCATTTCGTGCAAAAATGTCAAGATTTAGTATTTTAATTGTGTTGTGTAGTTCATGATTTACTTAGTGATGTGTCTATGAGGGATATTCTAGAAATATCAAAATCTTCTATATTTGTATTCTAGTCTTCTTCTGCCTTAATAATTTCTGGACTTTGTTCAGTTTAATCTGTTGGACATCAGATTTCTCGTTTGCTTTATTTTTTTCATTCCCTAATTCACAAACAGAATTTTCCTGTTTTTGCAATCGCTATATTTTGGAACCACTTTATCACTAGGCAATTGGGCATAAGTCTCATATATATATAACACAATATTTTTTGATTAGAGTGCTTTTGGGGAATGATGGTTGCATTTTTTGCTTTAATAAAAACTTAGGTAGCCAGCATAATTGAAGGGTATTTTTACGGTTACTAATATATATCTTGATAGAAGCAATTTTCATGCAAGGCTCCTGGTCACTGAAAAAAGTTTTGGTTAAAGATTGCATTTGTTCGAATTTCTGAACCATACCTTATAGCCATGAATAGAGATTGAATATAAACTTCTTTCAAACAAAATGCAGTCCATTTATTGTTTCACATAAAATACTACTATTTCGGTGGTTATCAGAACGGTTTAAGACATCGGTTGAAAAGACTTGATGAATCAAATTCTTTTCAAAATTATACACCAGCTGTGACAATTGTCTAGTCATTTCACAAGTACTTTACTGTCAAGAATCTAGAAATCATACATTGTACGATTTTATGTTTCTGTTTTTAATATTGCTTGTGGTACACATTGCACCAATTGAATTGAAATGCTTGTATGGGAGTTGGTTGGTAAATGTGATTGAATTCACAAAAGTTTAACTTAATACTGAAGTGTTTTCTTTTTTTTCATTTTCATGATCGTTTGTTTCCTTGTGTTTAATATTTCTACACAATTACAATCTGTTCTTGTCATCATTGTTCAAAAGGAATATTCATTCTTGTTCATTAAAAATGTTCATTGGAAAAAGCAGAATTGCAGATTCAATTCATTCATTCGTTGAAAAAAAAATATCGAAGTTTTCACGACTTTACTTTTTGCCAATATTGCCAAATAATTACAAATTTTCTGAAATACTTCAATTGGTAGATTTTTACTGTCACAATCATTACAGTATCTGACAATGTTTCATATTTTGCCTTTTCTATTTGTTAGAATAATTGTCACTGATTATTTAATTCATTGTTGCATTTCATGCAAATTGATCTTCCCATTAAATGTGAAATTCATTCTGCTTTTCATCCTTCCCAGTGATGAGTTAATAGCATGGTTATTATGAATATCAGTAGAATAATATAGAAGCTGAGATTGGACTTTATGATCAATCAACAAAGAAGAGTTTGTATTCTCCGAAAATGTAACAGCTTTGAATTTTTTCTTGCAAAATTTGGATTATATGTGGCACACAGTCTCATGCTTCTAACTATGTCTGAGTTATTATTGGATTTGTTACATTTCCCATAATCACCCAAATTGGTTTTATCAGTATAACTTGTAATAAAATATACTAGTGTTATTTATTGCATTTTTTGTGGCCGGGGTTAGTAATATGATTTGAATTTAATATGCTTTATAAATGTATCCTGAAAAACCAATCCTTAAGATCAAGTGTATTACAACCAAATCTGAAGGTTGCAGTTTGTTGGCTCATTTGCTATGACTTTTACCATTTTCACCATTGTAAGGAAAATTTGCTCTGCCAGATGTGAAATCATGTAGCGAAAGATGACCCCATGCATATTAACCCCTCTACGGGACCAAATTTATTATGGTTTGGCTATTTAAAAAAATAACCTGTTTTGACAAAATGCATTTTGGATCACACAAATGTCCGTTGTGCACGAAACTGTCCTAGAATCGCGATAGAGACAAAAATTCTCCGGCAAACGAATTGTTAGAAATATGATATCCTTGAACGACAATGTAATTCATTTTAGTCAGTCTAGTTTAGACATGGACTGCCAAAACCAGTGCACAAAGCAAGTTATATTTTCCATTGCAAATTTTTGATGTTTCTCAAAATTAATATCAAAGTTTAGGTCTTCCCTTGTTAAATCTGTGTATAAAGTATCTAATAACGTCAAAAATTGTTTTGATAATATTGTAGTTTTATAGCATCTTTCTTTCACCTAGGTCCTAGGACTTACAGCATCTGCTCACGGAATATTGAGGGAATAAGTATGTCATTCACCCGCTAGATATTTAGACAGATATATATATATACATCGGAACCAACGACTAACATAACATGATCGGAACTAACCGAATTATGTATCGAAGCCCATTGCGAAAAAGTCGCAAGAACGATTTCATTGCATATTACGAGAAGACTTCACGCTGGTTGAACTTATTATGTAGTTCCGTTTGAAGGTTAGGTATATTCGATTGGGAATAAATTTTGTTTTCGCACGACCATTGGTAAAAAATTTTAAATGACCGACCAGTGTTTAGTGACGTCTATTTGCCTGCGGTTTTCGCTGTTTTGATAGCATTTGTACTCCGTTTCAAATTATTTTCCGCTGCTACCTGTTTTTGAACTTCAATAAAGATAAAATTATTTTGTCTATTTTGCTTTACATTTAATATAGAGCTCAATTTGCAACTTTACTGCTATCATTAGTAAACCCTTTTAAAGACTCGTGACTTAAATAACATTTTTTGGAACCATATAAAAATGCGCGGGATCTATTTCTGAATCCAATTGAGCTTCAATGAACAAAGCTGGACATGAGACTCCCTTTTTATTCATCGGTGATTCGCATTATCTTTAGGCAAATGTTTAAGTATGAATGCAATCGCTGCATTGTGATGTACAATTTGATACCTCATTATGTCCTCTTTTGATTGAATTTATTAATATAGTTTTACAGGTACTAATTTCAAGCTGATACACACAGTAATGATGTTTTGCTTGATATTAATATCTTCTCTCTACATTTCCTCTAATGTTTTTATTCAATAACCGCACTGATCATGTGCTTCTGGTCAACATAGTGAACTATTGATCTCACTAGATAAAGTGTCTGGAGAGGTACAAGCCTGGCTAGTCAAAACTTATAAACCTCATTTTTCAAGTACAGGAAGTCCTAATTTTAAATGCAAAATTACGTGCCTAATTTAAAGAAGATGTGGGTTCGTGAGTGGTGATTTTCAAGTGTGGAGTTGCTGGCCCAAGTAGGCAACAAAAAGTAGATGTAGGGTGTGCGACAGTTGAAAACTTCAACAGTAATTACCCGAGCCAGGCCGCGAAAGCTGTTATTCGATGTATAGTTTATCTACTAACAATCTGAATGAGTTATCATTTGATTTTAAATATTTATTTTAATTTGTAAATATACTCTACGAAGACTATGGACATCCTGGACATTAAATTCACCCTTGGCAAACAGTTACTTTATAAATTTATGGCTTTGCATGACGAAGATATTTCACTTGCACTAGATTTTAAAACATATTTTTCTAACACTCTAACATCCTTTATTATATCATTTCAGGTATAATTATATATATATATATATACTGCATATGCTATCAGTTACATTTATTTATATCCATCCTGTTGATGTTTCGAAGAAAAAGCATAACTTGGTTGAAGATACTCCAATGATAATACATTCTGAAAACTTTGTCGAGTATGGGGCGCTTTGTTGCACTTTATGTTTAATTCTTCTTATATGACACTAAGACTAATTGATACGGGAGAAGTTGTTTATATTCAATGCCACTGGGTCACATTATGAGGTAAATGTATATTAAATATATATATTAAGTAACTCATTTGTGGCATTTTTAAATATGCACAAAATAGTTATTAGGGAGTTAAATATAAAGGTGACCGTACATTTGAACCCATGTGTATATCCGCGGGTTCAATCTATATGCGGGTGCTGAAACCCATGGGTTAGGGTTAGTATGGGTTCAAATATCCGTAAAACAAAAAAATGTCCATAGGTGCAAATCGTGCAATAGTATGCAGGTGCAATTGTCGTGAGTTCAGATGTACGTGGTTCAAATGTACGTGGTTTCAAATGTACACGGGTTGAAATGTAATGGAACCGTATATGAATCCATTTCCCAATAATATAACCCATGCCGAAAGACCATGAAATGTATAATACATTTTTTTGCTTTATAAAATGATGACGTCACTTTGATGACAAATCTCTTCTGAGCCGCTTGGTTACATTATAAGAACAATAACCGTGTGTGAAGTCGGAGATGTGGGTATAAATTTCTTCATATTTCGAGTGAACTCCTGCACGACAAAATATTTTAGAACAGTACTCGTCATTATTTTTTTGCGATACCACACGCTTTTAGTTAACCTTCACTCAAAGTTTTGTACACCCTAACTATACCAGGGATGACGAACCATTGACCCGTGGATCACGAAATGACCTATCGTGTTTTTTCATTGATTCGCCGAGTTAATTAATTAATGCGACAAATAACAGAAGCGTTTATGTCATTAAATTTATAATAACACTGTTCTTAAATCAATCTACCATATACCTGAACTACATTATTTTTATGATATTACAAAGTTGATGACATAACATTATACATTGATTTATTTCAACTAATCTCTTTTAGAAGAGATTCGTTCTTGTAGGTGTAACTTTGTATGTATACAGGGTTGTCTCAGCACTTCCATTTCGTTGCGCACAGGCACTAGGAATCGCGGCGCTGAATTAGATATTTTATAGATGGCCGGTACCCTTTGGTACAACCTGGGGTTTAGTCGAAAAGCACAGATCTAGAGTCATGGAAAATGCCCCATATCACAGTTTCCACCACATTACATTTTTGGGTACTCCTGAAGTATGCGCACCAAGATGTCGCCTAACCTGGTACACAACCTGAGTTCAGGTTGTGCGCCATCTTGGTGCGCATACTTCAGGAGGTAACATTTTTGGATTTATGCTTCCCACTACTAACATGTTACACTTGTCACATGCATATCAAAACATTCCACACAAATTATTTAAAAATCTTTTATTTGCCTGAATCTCTTTGCTACATATATATTTGAATTAACGAATTATATTAATGTAACCTCACATATCATTCGTTTATAACGCTTGAAACGACATACACTTCAGTCCCAAGTTTTGATGGAAACATGCTGACAATGGGAATGCGGGTCATGAAAATCATTTCTTCATTGACCACGGATCGAAATTCTTCAAAAACCTCTCATTGGGTGGAATGTATACAACATCCTCATTTGTATAAGTTGATAGATACTTGTAGGTTGTTAACTTTGGACTGAAGTCACATAAAATGTACGTCCAACATTTTATTATAGCAGACTTGTTGCTCTCTGCGGCTTCATCTTTGACAACAATGTCTTTTTCGAATCTCGTATACCAACTGCCAAGTCGAAAATGAAACGTTCATATCGTAATTTATATATATATATATATTGAGTTAACAGCATATATAACTATAATACAAATCTTACTCGGGATGCATTTCTATTCCATCGAGCTTTTTTAACATGTTGGAGTCTACGTCCCATACTTCGCCTTCCACGTTCTGCAAGATATAAAATATACATACAACTGAAAATTAACTTTTTTTTTCGAATTGGGCGAAACTTGATCCTTTTTACTTCGCTGACCTTTTGACTGTAATGTCATTTGTTTCGAAATATTTATTTTATAAAATGCTATGAAGTTTGATTGAATTCAAAAACATGATAAATTTTAATCATTCGAAAATCACTGTTACAACCTTGCCCTCTCCTGGATTGTCCAAAAGAAATGGAATCCCAAAGTTAGGCTCGACGACCATCGGATATTTCTCGGCCATGGTGCCATTAGCAACATAAACAGCTTTTCCATTTTGAACGTCTTCAATCAAGCTGTGGTTAGGCATTCCTCGCTTCAGAGTGCCGTATACGAAAATTCGATACATATTTATAATAAATGCAGAAGATTTGCTAGTGGTACCATATAAAAACAACAATAATACAAAAATAATATGAGCATTTTAGGAATTATCACCGTATGGCTAGCTTGATACATTCGAAAGTTTCCGAGGAATGATCTCGTCCTGTTCGCCTACACAAATCGCCCCATTAGCGTAATGGGATGGTCGAGAAATTTACAAATCTTATCAGTGGTTTCTGAGACTAGAAATAGCAACCAGAAAATCTCGCTGTATGAGTATATGTATCCATATCTGTGGTATATATTATTAGTATTGACTAACCTAACAGATGCCACGAAGGCCCAACACATATTAGAGATGTACCGATACCACTTTTGTCGCCGATACCGATACCTACTAAAAACGCCGATACCGATATTACAAAACGGCGGATATTGCCAATACCGATACTATGTAAATACAAGCACTAGTGTTTGAGCATTATTTATAGTGCACATTATTTCAGATTGAAAAAGGGATATAATACATGATAAGAAATTGATGTTTGGGATTCAGATGCATTAATTAATTTAGATGCATTGTGCACTGAAGGTAGTAATCTCGGTGCTTAAAAAATTCATAGGCAGGGATTTAATAACGCGATTTTCGAATATCGTTTTTTTAAGAATATCGAATATCGCCCACACAACGTATCGCCGGCGTCCACGTTTTAATTGAAAACATTTCACATATATTTCGTTTTGTGTTTTATCGTAATCGTGCGTCGCGACAATAAGTTACAGCCGACATGAAAAGATTTCAATCAGCGCTGGCTAGAAATACCTATAACACGTCGAGGATGTTTCTGATTTTCTTATTTCATAATATATTACAAATATTATCGTTATTTCGAGATAGTCTGGGCGGCCATGGAATCTATGAGGAAATTGTGTAGTTAAACAAAATTGAAATCACAACATTTAATACCTATGTAGAAAGATAATTATGTCGTAATTTAGCTCAACGATTTCGTTGGACCAAAGTCACTAAATGACACTCGCGCTTGACGATAAACAGTAAGAATTTATAACAGTGCTAAAAAGTGCGTGTTATGTTAAAAAAGACTTCGATTATATTCTATGATTTGAAACTTGGAGCCTAATTTCTCTTATTTCTGTGCTTGTCAGTTAACACCACAATTTATAGGTATAATTACCGTAATGCTTATTAAGTCTCTTTTCTTAGATGCAAGAAAATCACAATTTCATTTTTATCACACATGCCTTATGACTGCTTTACAATGATAATATTATCAAAGCCTAATTTCTATGTCCCTGGATTTAAGAAAAGTGAATAGTATTTATGTGGGGGATTTCACAATGTATTCGGACTTTCAGTATCGAATATATTTTTTAGAATGTATTCGAAATAGTCGATGGGTATGGTCATCCCTGCTCATAAGTTTGGCTACCAGGGTGGTAAAATAAATGAATGTTTAGCCTACTTATCCTATCAAATTGATACATTGAGTTACGTGCGCAAGATTTTGTTCCAATATAACGACATATTTTGTATTTTACATATTAGAGAATCCACTAATATTCGATTGATATATTTCTTCATAGTCACTATGTAATATTTGAAACGTCAATATAAAAATTTGGCAGTAAAAATAGCCAAATTGTGCGTTTGACTAATAAATATAACTAAGAACGGGTCAGAATTATATTCCCGTTTCTACCCGCGGTGGTGGGGACGTGCATGGCTCATAGTTCACGATTCCTTCAATAAAAAAATTTAAACATCAGTATTCCAACTTATTTTTTAAAACATTCTGAATCATATCAAAAAGGTAAACGTATAGGAAATATCGGTCTTCATTTAGCCGATACGATACCGAAAAATTAGCCGATACCGATACATCTCTAATATATATATCAACTGAAAAGTGATCACCGAAGGGAAAGCGTTGACGCGCCAGGTTATTTGTGAAACAAACAGTGCACTTTCCTTTGGTTAACAAATATCAATCGAATAAGACAAGATGGTGATGTAATTTGATTGAACGTGGCACCGTATATTCAATAGCGGACACGAGAGATAGGTCACTTTGCGCGGGTATAAATATGAAAATTGCTAATTAAACACAGAAATTGCTAAAATAAATATATATATATTGCTATTCAAATTTCAACAATATTGAAAGATTATCGCAAATTCCACAGGTGACTGGATAATTAGTCACTACAGATAGACCCATCAGGCGCAGCCAGGATTTTTTAAATGGTGGGGGCCTCTTCGCGTTTAAAAGAGTGACCATTTGCGTCGTTAATTGCGAAACGCAGTTGAATAAATTCCAGCGCTGCGCTCCTTTTGCCAGAAGCCGTTTGAAGCATGTTGCACTTTGTGCTACAAAAGTCACTCGAAGATCGCTTTCAAAATTTAACCGCTTCTTGTTTGTCTCAAAGAGGGAAAAGAAAATGCATCTTCTCCCTCGTTGGATCAGAATCGACAATTTACGACCCCCGTACCCCTACAGACCCCAGACTGGCTTCCACTCTGCTAATGGATATCACTTATTTCTATGCATTCAATTTACCAATAAACACTTAAATTCGTGTCATACCCTAGGAATAATTTGAACAGATAATTGAAAATTCCAATTACAACATATTAATTAAAGGAAGAAATATCAAATAAAATTCGCTACGGCACCTGGGTAGGCGACACATGACAAAGCTAAAATCAGAGGATCCTAAGAGGTATTTTACGTTTCTTTTTGAGAAGACGCAATCGCCCCCAGGCTTTTCGCACACTTTAGGAATCACTGAGATAAAGGAAATGGTTTAAGAATTTCAATGTCTTTATCGTATTTTGAAGAGGTATTTTAGTTAGACATTACCTCAAAAACAAGATACTATTTCAAAATTTGTCCCGGATATACTACGTTGAAGCTTATCACGTTAAAGCATCGACGATAAATAAGCCACCGACTAAATGTCTTTTTCGCAGGTGTTGTAGACTCAATGACGGATCATTCCGCCCTTCACAGCACCTTTCATTTCAATATTTATTTATTATTATTGTTTACAAATAGTTGTTCTTGATTGCTTGTTTTTTGAAGTAACAAATAAAATAACTCTGACTTCTACACAGATGGCGCTTAAAATTAAACTCGCCATTCGCCAGCATTTCTTATGAATTTGTGGCGAAACTTCGGTATAATACCGCATCCTGAACAATAACAGATCAGTAGCCAATACAGGTAGGTGATTCAGATCATATTAATAAATAACTATTTACGTGACCACGCCCATTATGCCTCAACATTCTCAAATGAAGCACCTCTCAATTGACTATCACTGTTGCAGCAATGTATTTGCCAAATGAGGATATTATACGTTTTTATTGATTTGCCCTGCCATAATTCTTTCGCGCATGATTAATGGAGCGTGCTAGCTTGGGTAACCTTGCCAACGACCACAAACACGACGGAGGCACAAGTCTGCGATTAAAAAATCAGGATCGGATTTTATTGAAACCTTATTGATGATCGGCTTCTATAACCTATAATGATTTGATATATTTCAAGTCATGGGTCTAGTGAAGTAAACGCCGTAGCTGCTTAAATACTGAAATAACAGCTACTGACCTACCGTAGCTAACAAAAATGTGATGTGAAATTGTAATGTAATTAACATAAAGTCTAGGCTATATGGCGCAGAAAGAAATTCTTGAAACACGCGTTTAGTTCAAATCAAGCATACTAAAATTTCAACTAAGCAGGTATGTTCCATGCCGTTTAAGGTCAGAAGGTAACATATTGTGTTCATGCAAGACGGACTTTCATTTTTTTTTAAATGAAAATTTGGGTTGTATTTTCACATCACGTTTTTGTTTGGCGTAATTTTTGCATTTACGGTGTTTAGATATTTTACGGACCCCAAATCATTGGCGAATGGATATTATCTGAGAGTGCCTTGACTTACAGACTTGTAATTCTTACTTTCACTTACGGACGAGTACTGAGTTTGTCTTACTTTTAAGTAATTTTTACCAATTGCACATAATTTATTTATACTTTTATCAAAACTAAAGCGATCAAAACATATGAAGCAATATATTTTTACTTTTCAGACAATCCCTTAGTTTTATTAACTTTTTTGAATCAATTTGGTCAAGTCTATCTATTACAATGGATATTGTATCGCCAGACAAAGGTGAAGTTATGCCACCTGGAACACCAAAACTCATCACACCTGAACCATCTGTTCATGAACCTTCAATGTTTTATCCGAGACCTTCCTCAGAACGTGCTCAGGTTAGTTTTTATCATTTTTCATATAAATAACTTATATCAGTCATGAATATTTTCAACATTTAAATTGACCTGTAATGAATTATATTATGACAATATGCTAAATAATAATGAGTGAAATTAATTTTAGTTATTCAAATATTTTAATGATGACATTCTGAAATTAAGGATAACTGCTTTAAACCTCTCATCTTCGCTAGATACTCTATGCTACTCGAGTTATTGTTTATATTTTGAGTTTCATGCCCATGAATTTTCAGGATGTTTCCCATATTTTGGCAAGTACATTTCAAGATCTGTATACTAGGGATGTTCTGGGGAAAGACATTGTTCGAAATCTTACAACATCAAGTGACGGGAGTAGTAAGTTTCACCAAAAATGCACGAAACAATTAAAAGAGGTGAAATTTTTAATACTTTGTTTTTATATCATCAAGTCTTACTTCTCGTTTCAAATATGTTTATCTTATTATTAAATAATAGGTTTGAATGCAAATACCGTAGATCGTTTCATAGATAGAACTTAATAATATTATGGAATGTTATGGAGTTCAACATTGGTTTGTCTTCACTTAAATATTATTCATTCAGACTGATGTAATAAGCAATGTTGATTTTTTAAATCAACATGTCATGAATATTGACTAGATAAAATTATGCTGTATGACTATCCTATTTCAAAATTAGATAATCCAACATTTCTGATTCTTCTGACGTAATAACAATTATTTTAATGTTTCAATTGGGGTCATTTCATTTATTATATTGAAAAAGAATTTTGGTTATTGTTGTAGGATGTTAGTTCGCACAATCTATAAAATGCACGGTGGATTTTTTCATGAATATTGTTTCGATCGATTATACACTTAATTAATAAAGGTAAAAGAATTTGCTCAAACTCTTTACAATTATATGAAATTGGATTAGAAACAAAAGTATCTGGTACAAAACTGAATTGATTTCGTTCTGTGTTTAATTATTTAATTATATGTTGTTTATATACAGGCTCATGAAGAACACAAGAGAAGACTTGAACAATACGCAATGTTAGAACAACACATCATACAAGCAAGAGCGAGAGCAACATCCGCAGATGAACGAGCACTTCTTCATGCAGCAAATGATTCGACTCCACAAATTTATAGAGATTTAGGATTGCCACCAGGTTGAATTGATAATTTCCACTACAAATAGAATATGGAGGCTATTTTTATTTCCTATAAATTCAGAACAGCCCTCCTTCTTTGGCATCTTATTGTTTTGATTTTATCAATGTTATTTATTCAGTGATTAAAATAAAATAAATATTCATTACATTTTTTGTGAACGTCACGGTAACAGGAATTTAAAATGTGAAAAACAATGAAAGTCTTTTTACAAGAATTTTGCTTATTACTGTCACACAAGCATGTTTACTTGGATAGCTGAGAAGTTGTGTTCTTAATTTCATTTTTATATTCATTTATTAAGTGAAATCTAATTTTCGATGGTGCCTGGATGAAGACATGTTCAGAAAACACAATTTGATTGTTCCAAGTGATTTATCGCCAAAACCAAAGTCATTGGTTGATGGTCCAAAACGTAAGTAGAAATCTAGATTACAGTGATACCTTGGTAGTCGAACAAATTCGTTCCTGATTTATGTTCAACTACTGATTTGTTCGAGTACCGAAATTTTTTTGCCCCAGGTAACAATGACAAGTATTTGTAAACTAAATAACAATTATTTAAATGTGTACATAGTAAAGTCATTGAAAATTATGCACCTATAACGATTCCGCTTTTGTGTTAGTCATGTAGATTGTCTACTGTGACAGAATGCATACCTGTACTACTTCGTTTTGGCCTCTATAATTCCGAGCATCGCTCTGTTGTTGAATGGTCAAGAGGCAGGCGAGATGCAGGCTTTGGGTGACATCATCACGCTCGATGGCGCGCACGGGTGTTTAAGCACCGAATTTTCATTCGAGTACTGCAGCATTTTTGACTGAAATTTTTTGGTTGACTACCGAATTGTTCGAGTATCAAGTTGTTCAACTACCAAGTTATCACTGTATAGTAAAACAGAGAGATTGGATGGAGTATCTGAACAATTTTCTTGAATATCCTGTTGAATTTATACATTTTCCTGAATTCAGTCGTTAACACGGTTTTGCAAATCGCTATACATAATTTATACAAAAGTAATTTGGTATTTTACTTCTTTCCAATCCTCTCAAGTTTGAATATCTTAAAGATTTGGTCATAGAAAACAAGTAATATACAATGGATTCTCATCCAATTGTTATCAATAAATATGCAAGTTGTTATTGTTTGCACTTGCCAAGCTGCCTTGGCCAAATTTTTTAGCGACCCTTTGGAACTAAAGTAAAATTTAATAATATACAAAATTCCTTCACTTTTTATCGAACCCAGTCACTACTAACTGCTTAGATTCAACTAGATTTAACTTCCCTCAGAACCGGAGCTTATCATTCGTCAGCTAGTTCCTAAAACATAGAATCCTAAACAACTAGAAATGAAATTGTGACGTAACAATAGTTCAGTCTCGCATGATGGCTTATTATGTTTTGTTTTGGCTAGGAGAAGCGTACTTCTTACTTCTTTGTATCTTCAAATAAAAAAATTCTGCCCATTCAAGCATGCAACTTTCAACTTCGTCACTCTAAGTCAGGATATGTTTTTTTCACCTGTTTAAAATGTTTTCTTGTCAATATCAATACCCTAAAGAAGTCTTGAAACATACAGCGACCACCATTGAGTCATTTTGCCACTCACCAGTCTGAAGCGTCCTGATTAAATTGATTGCTTACAGCTGATTTTTGTCTTTCTCAGTATGCCAGTTACATTAATATATTTTTTTTAAATTTTGAGTTGACCATATCTTTATACAGCAACATCGCAACCACATTTTGCAATTCAAACATTGTCATCATCTATGCATCTTTTGAGAGGACCTGTAGATGATGGGTATACAAGTAAAGAAGAACTTCTGGCAGTTGAAGAGGTTGGAAACAATGACTGATGATCACTTGTCATTTTAGGATTTTCTTAACTCTTTTGCCATCTTATTTGCCCGACTGGGATACTTTCCACTGCTGCATTTCCACTAAGAGTCACAAGATATTTCCTTGTTTTTTAAATATTAGAATATGGAATACAAAAATGTTTAATCATTATTGTATGTTGTATACTAAAGAAGTTAGTAATTACCGGTAAGTGAGATTTCAAAATAAACTTATAAAAGTTTCAGTTAATCTTTTACCACTGATCCAGTATGTCACTAATCATTCCCAGACTTTGTTAAACTATGTATTTCATCAAGCATGTTTGATGTGATGGCCACTCCTATGATCATTTAAATTGTTTTCTTCATAAGTTTTTTACTCATATTCATTATCACTATCCTATACTTTATAAGTTATGTATTCTTAATCAGCTTCAACTAAAAGATGAAGAACAAACGCAGACAACATTATCTACAAGTTCAGATGTTTTAACAAGTAGTCCACCTCGTACTTTGATCAGAGCACACAAAAAAAGTAAAAATAATGACGGAAGAGAAAAAAGAGATAAATTGCATGAAGATATGAATCATGATCAAAGAGTTATCGATCGGGCTGACCTTGCAAGGATGGAAGAACGGTAGGGTGGCAATGTCCATATTGAGGCTTAATATTGCTTCAATATAACACTAATAGCTTATATAGTCATCGACTCACCGTGATTAAAATAACTTAGATTTGTTAGATTACTGATGGTGTTTGCGGTAAAATACCTCAGATAATAATTAAGTCCCAATATTTAGGTAGATTATTATTGTAAAAGTGTGAAAGATTTCCATAATTAATAATGAAGCAAATTATTGAGACTATCAATCAAGCTGTGATTGTTGAAAACAGCAAATGTCCAGAAATATAAATTTTCCATGAATGGATATGTTTGATACCTAAATTGTCTTCAACTTTTTCAATTATTTTTAGACATAATTTTCTGAAGAATCCTCGTTATCTACCCCTTACTGTCCCGAAAGCTTCAAAACTCCTTGTTAAAGAACAACCTAAACAATTAGTCATCAGATCTGGTAGAGCTGTAATGGAAGAAACGTGAGTGGTGGTTATGCAAATATTGTTTTGTTAACCAGAAATTAGTAGTTAATGATATATCAGAACTGCCAATATGTTTATTTCTTCAACTATTTGACTCACTGGTCAGTGTTTCATGCTACCCTGGCCCTGGCCAGGGTGGTCAGCAGAAGCGTGCAAGCATTGCATTCAACAAGGTAGAACCGAAGTGAGGGCGACCCTTTTGAAGTCAATTTGAAAAATGGCAGAACATAATGCTGGTGATAAATCAAGAAAAAAGCATTATTACCTGTGGTAATGATTTGGTTTCTGCGAGACTAACTACTTATCCTTCTTCTATGCTTTTGTGTCGGCGGATCCGTATGCATATAGTGCAAGGATGCTGTAGCAAGAGTAAAGATAACTATCCTAAGTGATTCAAGAGTCTTGCTGCACACTAACACAAATATATTTCTGTAACGTTTCGTCTGACCAAGGTCAGACTTCTTCAGACATACATAGTTCAACTACAACAAGAAAAGCGGTTACATACATATTTCAACGATCAGTATAAGAGAATGGGAGTTATGCATGTTAAATAATCAATTAAATCAGTGAATTCTTGATTAAATAACAGCGGGTGGCTGAAATGAGATGACATTGATGAGATCTCTCTCTTTGTTTTATATTGAACAATTGAGATTCAAATTAAACAATGGTGTTTTGTGTTTCTCAGCATTGGATGATGCTGACCAGAAAAGTCTTCTTTGAGTCAATTATAATATATTGATTGTTTGTCTGTTGACGACATATCTGGCCATGCCTGATCCAACCCTGAGAATAACATTAGAGACAAAGGATGAGTTAAACAATGAATGCAAGATTAGTAATTGCTTTAAACTTCCTTAATATTCATCCCGTGTGGTTCATGTGTCCCGAAGCGATGAATGAGATAAGATTCTTTGTTTTTTCTGTAAATGTGGTCATGGAATAGTTTTTCAATGCCAATGACACTGAAGTCTTTAAGTGAATGTCCCGGTTGGGTGAAATGTGCACCTACGCTACAACTAAATCTTTGTTTTAGGTTTTAATACTTCTGATATGTTCAGTTATTCTATATTTTAGATGTCTTCCCGTTTCTCCTATGTATTGCATGCCACACTTTTTGCAGCTTATTAAGTAGATGACATTCTCCGAGTTGCAAGTAATTTTCTGATTAATTTTCATTTCTACGTCCTTGTGTCTGCTTGTTGCAATTTTTCTTTCTTCGGAATGTTGGCAAGTGCTGCATGACTTTCTGCCACATTTGAAAAATCCAGGATTCTTTTTGACTGGTGTTTCTGATTTCAATCTTGCTCTGACTAATCTGTCTCTTAGAGTAGGGCACTGACCTGTGGTGTCTGCACTTTCCCCTCGTCCCTGGGACTATGCTCAATATGTGCTCTTAATTAGTTCCAAGCTAGGTTGGCTACATGCTTGATAGATAGTGAAATATGTTATTTTCATTTCAACAAGAATACTTTTTCATTGCAAATCGTGATCATACTGCATGACTTGCTTGTTATAATCATCATTGGACTGATAAGCAGATGGCAAGTCCTGGTTGCTATAATATTCTGTTATACTATCGGCTTCCCTTGGGAACAAATATGGAAATCTCTCTTCTCTTATCCCCCTATTTCAATATATTTTAAATTATTCTTTTGACAACAAATGAAGTCTTTATCTAAACCTTGTAATGTTGTTTTTTTTCATAGAATTACGAAAGAGCCTGTTCAAATTTTCATGTCAAAACCAAATGTTGTATTATTTTCAGAATGGAGAGTTGGAAGAGTTTATGAGGTGAATATCTCTTATACAAGAAAATTTGTCATTATTACCGTAATATCATGAGAATAAAAAATAATGCCACAACTTTTAATCTGTTATGAAATTAGCATAGCGAAACAATAGAGAGTACGTCTGTAAATTATCTTGAGAGTTCCTATTTATTTATGGTATAGGTATGTTCCCCTAACATTGATTTTGTCAAACTCATACACAAATGTGCTTTGAAAGTTTAATGTTAATATCAAGGAAAATTACACAAAGGCGAACAAAATTTTATGTCACTGTTTTGTGTTTGTTTAGTTTTTTCAAGTTCTTCATAATAACTGTTAACTGTGAAACCATTTTATTCAGGCTGTTCTTGAATTGAAAAACATCAGCACAGTTTGCCGACAATTACGAGTTATTCCTCCAACTACTTCATTTTTCTCCTTCGGATTGGGTAAATTTTGTCATCTTCAAATTTTGAACTTGTTTTTGGCATTTTTTTACTTAACTTTTTGTAGGTGTTTTCCTAAAAATTTGAACAAGTATTTATTCTGACTTAGAGAACTACTGGGGTTTTGTTGGTTAGGCCAACCATGGTTGATCTGCTGGAACAAATTAAAACCCTTTATCGAGTTCTGTCAATTATGCTAATAATTATTCTTAATAATAATTTCTTTTGTTATTGTGTATTATTGTTTATAATCCATGACCATATTGTTGTTGTGTGTTTTGTTTTATTCTGCTCTATTTGGGCCATAATTGTATAATAATAAATAGTATTTTAATGTGGATGGAATGAGCATTATATTTAACTTGCCTCATATTATGCACTAGATGTACCAAATTAGCCATAGTTAATTTAAGATACCTCCATTAAAAGTAGTATAGTACTGATAGTAAAATTGAAATCTACTGGTATGTTTAAGAGCTATTGACATTAATTCATGATACTGCTCTCTTATCCTGTTATTGTACCACTCATCAGCAAGCAGATTAAAACTTTGCCAGTTACGAATTATAAATAGTTTCTGTACTAAATTGATACAGTACAAGTATAGCAATGGTCAAATTGAATACATTAATCTGGGCTATGCATGGGAATAATGCATGCTAATATTGCTCAGAAGTTGGCAGATGCTGTAGAATTCATTGGGTTATTTTTAGTTATTGTAAGTTGTATTTTTTGAAAGTCTTGTTTTTTTCATCCAAAATCTTTGTTATATTATACAGCTGTTTTTCTTTTTATTCAGGTAAATACCCGGGAGTTCATGGATTAGTAGCGCCTGGTATGAGCGCTCAATTCAATGTGCGATTTATGCCTGATTCACTTGCTAATTATGAAGATTATGTATTGGTACAGTCACAATCGGAAGAACCGCTCACAGTTTTATTGAAAGCAGAAAGGAAAGCTCCATTCTTAACAAGTAAGATGTGCTTTATATTTTCATGTTTGAATTAAATCCATAAATACCTCCAGCTGCAATAACCTCTAACATGATGCCATATACATATGAACAAAAATTTGAGTAGAAGCACAGCATTTTGCTGCTGGATGTATTTGTTGTAGTTATTTTGTTGACCACTTGCATGATTTAAAATTCGGTAAAATATATGAAATATGAATCGTATCATTACAACATAATTCCTTGACTCACGATTCTGGTGCAAAACTTTCTGGGTATCAGAAAAAAAAGCTGACAACTGCATGCTGGAAATTTTCAATGAAATTGAGTATGACGTTTCTGAGACTGGGATCTAGAAATAATAACCCTTTTTTTTGTGTAATACAATTTTTAATGTGAGGGTTCAATTAATCATGGGGTAAACCATAGAGTTCAACCAGACTACCAGTTAAATGTTCCAGCTGTAGCTGACTTGGATTGTGGAAAAGTCGTAAGGCTTGGTGGCGAAAAATCCAGCTGTTTCCTAGCACATCTCTCTACTTCTATTTCTGCCAGTGTTGTTACCTGGATTCATATCAGAATAAGGCAATTAGACCAATAATGGTTTAAATGCATCTGATAAATCAAGTGATAATTGAATTAGGACGAATAGCCTGCCATTGAATATTTCTGGTTTATAGTGATATGGATAATATTGCAAGATGCTCTGCTAGTTTGAACGACCTAACACAATTTAAATTTGAGCACAATTTTGCGCTATTTGGTAGGTAATGATTTATCATGACCTGGTATTTGTTTCTTATATTACTCATACTTTTCAGTATCTCAAAATCTACGATGCGGCCAATGTCTAGTCGGTGGAACAAAAGTTGAAGAAATTATTGTGAAAAATCGAGGTGGAAATGGAAGATTTTGTATTTTGAAAAAAGAATCGTGGCCTGCTGCTAATTTCAAAGTAATAGCAGTTATAAAAATAGTGTAATACAAGGTGATCCAAACCCTGGACACATTTTGTGCGGTCCGCAGAACAATTTTAGTGTATACTAAACCATTGGCAGAGATTTGTATTTATTGGCAAAACATTTTTGAGTTTTTTTTAGCTATTCCAACTAAGCATAGAGATTTAAGACCTTCTCCTAATCCCGATGTCAAGAATGATATTTGTTGAAATCACGGAACATCAATCTTGTATCTATAAACGTCAAAACGGGGCCAATATGGGAAGCTCGCATCTCGCAACTCCTAATTTGGAGAGACGTTTTGTGTCTTTATTTCAGTGAAAACACTCTTCTGTTTTCAAGCGGGGCCATGTGACAGCAGTGACGAAAAGCAGAGCTGATTTAGCGTGGTTAGTTTTTGCGGTCCTTCAACCTCGCAACCTTGGACCATCCTGGTTTAATGTATTTATCCTTTTAAAAGCACCCTGAATTCATCACAATCAGTATGAATTTGATTAGTATTGTATCTGCTTTTGCAATATTCTGAGTATATTTTATTAGACAAATTTGAAGACAAAATATTGTTAGGTAATAAATTACTCTTTTATCTAATAACAGCTGAAACTTGAATAACCAACTCAAATCACTATGGCAACATGGTTTGTGAATGATTGTATTGTAACTTAATGTTGGAGGAATTCTTATGTAGAAATTGCCTTTCAATGATGCCAAAAGGTCACTTGCTGATTTGCTCAATAATATATTGCATGGAATGGTTTCAATTTTACTTAAAAATAGTTTTGTTTTGTTTTGCTTTCAGACTGTTGTGAGTCCTGGTTCACTAGATGTTGGTGTTTTCCGAATACAACCGGCTGTATTTGAGTTACTGTCTGGTCAAACAATGGTTCTCGAGCTTGTATTCTCTCCAGTAGACACAGAAAACTACAAAGAAAATCTTGTAATAGTTTGTGATAATTGTCAGGTTCAGGATCTTACCATTGATGGTGGGTACTTATGCTACATTGATTGATAAAGGCTTTCGAAAATCAAATGGTTTTGTTTATTTGCTGCTTATGCCAGACACCTGCTGTTGACCTCACTTTGAGGTATTTGGATATTTCATAAAACCAGTGTTAAATTTATTTGAGCCGAACTTTGCATAATATTCTAATACTTCTCATGCCTATATAAGGTTATGAATGAAATCTTGTTGCACATGCCTGTAGGTTTCAGGCCTTTTTATGTCCGTAGGAGTTTTGTGCATTCAATCTTATAATCAACTTCCATAAAAACCTTACTTAAAAGTTTTAATCTTTGTTCTACTATGAGTAATTACTATAAAGAAGATGTTTGTATGTACTACAGCTATTCACTATTCTCCCTATCTGTTTTCGTTACAAAAGCACCTGAAGATTGCATAGATTGACGCTTGACTTTTCCATCGTGTTTGAAACATGCAGCTTAAGTGTAATGGGTTGCGACACATTCACTTTCCTATGTGAGATTTCTCACTGAATGTTGAGTTGACCGTATATAACAAGCATGCATTTCTATATTATTGTTTAAATTGCCTAATTTGAGAGAACTAGCAAGGAGATATGGGTGGTCTTTTAATCCAATGATTATTTTCTCATTTGTTCTAGGTGAAGGACAAGCTGCTGCAGTAGAATTAGTTAGTGTATCAGATGGTGGTGAAGACTCCCCGAAACTTGGGGAAATTTCAGATGTTACTGCTGATCATCTAATTAGGTTTCCGCCACTCAACCCCCATTCTTTTTATATGAAACAACTCTTGGTACACAACTCAATGTGAGTATGTTTTGGTATTATTAAAAAATGGATGGAGTGGAGATGGAGTACACTGTGAACTCATAATTGATATGGTTTCACAAATGTTTGTTCATGAGTGTCTCATAATATAAAAATTGAACATTCAGAACTTGTCCACACTCGGCTATGAGCTCTCATTCATTCACTCTCAGTGTACTCCTACTTGTAAATGCACATGATCTTGCTTTGGACAAATGCTCTTGAAGAAACAAAAACAAAATACATAGAAATAGCCTGCTAAAGATGTTAGCTACTTCATAATATCAACTTTGTTGTTTTGCCAATTATTCGTATAAAACAGGAAACAATTTTTTGTGTAGTTTGAATCAAATTTAACTTGCAATGCTAACATGTTAAGGTCATGATGTCTAGGCCAACAAAGCCAGTCAGCCTGGTAACTGTTTTTTTGTAACAAATTTTTAACAATGATTGATGCTATAATAAATATCATATTATCTGAGGTACTATTGATGAAGATTTTTTTTTTCAAAATATGTCTGTTCATTTTTGCAACCATAGTTGCGAAGTTTTAATTGTTTCGGCTTGGCGTTGTGGCGCATCATTCTAAGCGTTAGGAATACGCTCTGCCACCGCATCTCTGATTACACTTCGTGGGTTCGCAGGTTCGAATCCCATGCGGGGATGATCAGGTGCGAGAGGATTGCTGGACTCCTCGCCGTCGTAGGGTGATTCACGTAAACGCTGGTCGGTTACGGCTTCCCCCACCATCAAGTCCATGCTTCCGAAAACAAATAACTGGCTAACTAATCCCATGCCCGACCTGGACTGTTAACCGGACGAGAGGCCGTGCGTGGTTCGCCATATGATTAAGCCGTCTTATTGATTTTCCTCTCCCCCGGGATAAATATGTAAATCATATCCTATCTTATCCTGCATCTTGCAAATTAGGATCTCTTACCATAAGTTGCTAGATTTATATTCATTTCATGACATTTTTGGATTTTAAGTATGTATTGAATTAATGTACATTTGTGTATATCACTTTTATAGGTTGGGTCATTTATTCTATCATGAAATAACTTTAACTTTCAGTAATGTTGAAATGCCTTACACATGGCATATTCTGAAACCGAATCTACAGACATCGTTGCGACCTGATGAACAAAACTTAATCAATCATTTTGAATTTTATCCTGATGAAGCACCTGCATACTTCATCGAACCACAGAGAGGAACATTACAGCCTAATGGAATTCATGAGTTTGTTGTGACTTTTGCCCCTCATATTGTAAGTTTATACTTGCTAGATACATTTACTTTACGTGAAGATTTTTGCAGATTATGGATGCCATGGCTTATTATATTACTACAACCTTAATTATCTTAATTATCTATAAAAAACCAGAAATTTTAATTCATTTATTTTTTGACGTTTTCAAAATTGTAATATTATAATGGCTGTCCCATAAAATGTACTCAACACTGTTCACTGATTTTAATCCTGAGAGGGATGATGTATTGTCCAAAGTTTTACCGCTACATGGCCAGCTATGGCGTTTTCTAGTAGTCACGTCTAGCGATGTGCATTGCCGAGGTGGATAGTTATTTTTCATGCTATATTGGATTTGTTCACTATCCAAGAGTTATTTTCTTCAAAAATTTGTGATGTATCATATGTTTGAGCCATCTTATCGACTTTTCCAACGTAATAATGCCTTATTGATTACATATTTCCATTCCCATTGTTTAAAATGGCAAAGAAATTGATGTAAATAATGCTGTTTTGTCAAATTTAACCCGGATGAATATTTTAATGATGATATTACTACCAATTGCATTCAAGTTATATTTGTTTGAGAAAGTAGAATGATTTTGTTCTTGTGCAATGATAGACAAACACAAAATATATTCCAATAATTTTGAAGATGTGCTTCTTCCAGTCAGTGAATTATTTTAATGATTTCAGGTTGGAAATTACCAGAATGTATTACATCTTGTTTTGAGTAACATACCTGAATCATCTGCCAGCCAACAAAATCAAGCAAGGAAAGATAATTTGCATAATGTAGCTCAGGAGGTTGGTGTATAGAGATTTTCTCAATTTTTTGTATATTCGCATTTCGTATATTCCTATTCGCACATCATCAATGGCACACAAATGTTTGTTATTAGCAAAGATATTGACAGTACATTACATAAATCATATAAGTTTGAAATCAACATTCAACGAACTATTTTAATTTACCGTAAGGCTAAAGCTTAAATGTTCCCAATATAAGGCAAAAAAATCCCAGCAAACAGCATTTGCAATGTATTGAATTTTGTAAGAAAGTATTGATTGGAATTTGATATGGCCTTCAGAACTATCCACACCAGACCTTTTTCACATTAGATTATGCAGGCAGTATTTGGAAATTTTCAAAATGTTAACAAATGCTCCCTATTAAAGAATATCAATAAGAAACTTCATTTTGTTTTAAGAATCCAAAACAACTTTTATTTAAATTCAGTTTCCTTATACTATAAGCATAATACATATCTAATAAATTTTATGTAATGTTGTCTTTCAGTCAATTCCATCACAACATGCTGGACGAAAATATCCTTTACCTTCAAATTTGACGACACATTCAAAAAGTTCTTCAACAAATGAAATACCTAGAAAGGACAGCCCTACTAAACTTAGTAATAACTTGACAAATGTAAGTAAATTATATAGAAGAGAGTGATTACACTGGTTTATCTGAACCGGACAGAGGATGGTCATTCTGGACCAAGTATTTTTCTTTATAAATCTGATTGCCCACTCACCACAAGACCGGATTTGGTGGGAACGGGGATTTCCAAATATTTTATTATTTCGAATACATTCTGAGAAAATATTTTTGAATATGAAATATTGAATACATTCTAAATCAGGGGCATGTTCATATGGAAAATTACATAAATCACTATAGGAATAGGATAGGCAGTGCAATTTTTGCAAAACAAAAACAATTGATAGAATCGCTTACCGGTATGTCTTTATTTTTTGACTAGTACAACCTCGGATTGAAGATTGATGATCAGCATTGATCAATTTGGTTATTTTGATTTTCTATGATGGATTCAGACCAGTGTCAAACTTCACATGACCTAGAAATATTATTTTATCTATTCTTTCCTTTTCAATACCTGGCTTTCAAAATGTTCATTCCTTAAGGCTACGAACATAGCGGTAAAATCAAATCAAAACCAATTTCGAGAAGTTATTGCTATGGAGATAGAATTGAAAGGAGACAGCATTCCCTATTCTGTATTGGTTCATCCTCCTGCTATTATTGTACCTGGCTCGATGTTGGAGGGTACTACGGTGAAAAGGCCATTCAAGATGGCAAATTATAGGTAATATCAATGATTGATTCTCTAATAATCATCAGCAAATTTTTATGATATATCATGCTTACCGGTAATACATCAAATATTACAAAATAATATTTATAGAATAAATACTGAGATCTCGAGGTTAAAAAATGATTCGCCTATATGTTAGTGAAAAAGTATTTTACACCAAGTCCTAAATATTATATTGTGTTAAAAAATTCTAAAACCGAGGAATTTTAATCTTTGCATAAAAATATGGGACTTTTATTCTCAGATTTATTGTTTCGTCGGATCTGGCCCGCGGGCTGAATTTGACCACCTCTGCAATAGATAATACTCCATCTCCAATGTACTTCAGTGTTGTCAATATTATTTGAACAATATTCTGTGGCTCACAATGCGTCAATAATGTGTCATATGTGCGTTGCTAACCGATTCCTTATGCAGATATTTGAATGCTCATTAAATTAAGAACATTCTGAAAAATTCAGTCAATGGAATCCTTCAACTGGTAACTGAATGACAGGCCGTTGTTGTTTTCCATATTATCAAGACGTCTTTAATAAAATCTGATTTTTTGTATATTTTTTCACAAACACAATTTGTCATCTATAAGTTTTTCATTAATTAAGTATACAAAATATAATAATTTAATAGCCTACTTAACATCACATTCTTGGGTACTCCCGTAGTATGTGAACCAAGATGGCGGCCCCCGTATGTAGTATGTGTACCAGGTTAGGGTTAGGCCATAATTGGATTCCAATTTTCCATATTTTAGTTCTATCATGAGTTCGGGGAATAGCCAAGTGACCGCATGGTATTTGTACCTGAAATTATAGCCTAACCTTAACCTGGTACACATACTACGTTCCGGTGTCCGCCATCCCGTTGATATTTGTTTTCCTGCTTTATCCTGAAGAATTTCACACAAATTTATTTTTACTTCGCTTTAGTCTTGCTCCAGTTCAGTACAGATGGACATCACAATCACAACCTGATATCCTTGAAGTTGAGCCTCCCATGGGTATGATTGACCCCGGTGATTATACTGAACTTGAAGTTAGCATTACTGGATCCAAGCCAGGTCCATTATCATGTGACCTACAATGCAAGATTGATCATCTTGATCAACCCATTCATTTGAATATCCAGGCAAATATTGATGGCCCAAAAGTTGTCATTAGTAAGTAAACAATTTCTATATTTTTATATCATAAAAAATTTGATGTTTTCTTGATTTAATTACTGAGCTTTACTGTAATCGGTTTTAATCAATGACTGTTATTGACAAGATCTAACAATTTTTAGTTGCAGCAATTTAAATGCAAACAGAATGAAAAATTTATCAACAGTAGTACAATCCTTGCTAACTTTGATCTGTTGTTAACTTTAGGTGTATGACTGGCTTTTTCTCGAATGAAGTGAATTAATTTCAAATTTTGATTCATTTTTAGTGAACCCAATGGTTGATTTTGGCCTCGTGCGACTAGGAGATACTGTTGTAAGAAAAGTTACATTTCGGAACACAACTCAGCTACCAGCAATATGGGAATTTTCTGAATCTGAGCATTTTTTCAAAGCTGCAGGATTAGAGAAGTAAGTGAGGCAGTATAACTTGATTAGTTCAAAAATATACAAACTACTATTAGTAATTGGGGTTGGCTCGTTGAAAAAACCATATCTACCAAACTGGATTCTGGCAATTGATTACTGTAAACAGGTTTTTAGATTTGCTCCTTTTTCAAGGTCGGAGTTAGATATCACTCCTGATTTTGGTGAATTGAGTCCTCTAGGAAAAGTTGATGTTAAAATCACCTATACACCAACGAAAACACAGCAATTGTCAACCGTGCTTGATCTGGATATAAAAGACGGAAAATCATCCAATCTTGCTGTAACTGCTGATGTCCAAACTCCAAAGGTATTATTATTATCAAGGCTTATTATTGGGATCGAATTAGGCATGTATGTGCCAATTAAGGTTGATAAGGTGGCTCTCCCATATTGTGAACCATGCCCTCACTGCTATATGATTATATAATCAGTCATCAGATTATATTACTAGATGCATGGGTATGCCTCGGATATAGTCATTCCAAAAATATTCCAACTAAGGAATCCATAGGTAATCAATCAATCAGAGTTGCAATGATTAGAATATACCTAATACTAAGCTTTGAGTTATCCAAAGTACATGACTTATTAATAAGAAATTGCCAATTCTGGCAGAATCTTAAAGAATGTGGCCAAAAATATTCTCGATTGCCAAAACAGTGTAATGAGTGACATATTTTTCCCCGCTGTTTTTTTTTTCAATAGGCCTATGTTAGTGATACTCAGCTAATATTTCGCCGATTAAACTAAGAAAATCAGTATATATATATATAAGGGATTTTGTCTGGATTGTTAGAAGTTTGGAAAAGTGGTAATCGCAAGCAAAATAAACCGAGAGATGATCAATGTTGTGACAAAGCTTTTGCGACATGCAATTATCTCGTGCTTATCTGGTTCGTTATTCATTTAAAATAGAATCTCAAATTGCTTGTAATCGATGTTGATTCCAATCCAATTCTGAATTTTTCGTCAATTCGTCGCTATCTACGGGATACGGGTCCGCGATTAGCAGATATTTGAAACAGGACATGCAAAATATTCTCCGAGTGACATCTGCCTAAGGGAGTTTGGCTGACAGGGAAGGCATGCTATTGTCCCCCATTTCTGGTGTTTTCTGGTCCAAAGCTAATAATGCTGACCAACCCCCCTGCCACAAAAATAAATGAGCCGAGCCGCCCAATAAGCCGACATCAGGAAATTAGGCTGCAAAATAGGTCCAGAAACGGCTTATTAGCAAGAAAATAGGATATACTTTCATCATGCACTTATACTTTTTCTACACCATTCACAGGCATGTTTTTTGGAATGTGAAGTGATATGCAAGAATGCTTTTTTATCTGTACCTCAAGTACAGAATGCATTTCTTCTCAATCAGACGAGTTTGTCAGCAAAATTTAAATTCGGGAAATTGTTAGGAAAGCAAGCAGAGAACTGCATGGTTACAATCCATCCTAGTGAAGGAATTCTTGCACCTAGAGAAAAGCTAGAAATTCAGGTAACTTTATTTTGTACAAACTGGCTTTTTCGGTCTGGTGTTTTTAACATATGCCCATTGCTTAACTGAAAATGTGATGAATCAGGCAAAACATTCCAGGTTACAAGAATTTAGGGACTTTTTAATATTTGGGTTATAATATAGTCAGCTCAATTAACATTCAATTCTTTGATAAACACCTGATGAATTTAATGAATTTTGAATTCTACAATGAATGTGTACTGTATTTGCAAAATAAAATATTATTAATGACTGTTACCACTAAAAAATTACATAAAGCCTTTGATTACTCAGGAGACTCAAAAGAAAATCAATCAAAAGAATTTACCTGTATTTATACATCAAAAGTTTTCTATATACAGATAACATTTGCAAGTCATATTGAAGGAGAAATATCAAGTCTCGTGGTACCTTGTTATGTTGAAGGAATGAACAAACCAATTGTCATGGGATTTTACGCAAACGTTAAACCCCTATCCGTGGTGTATTCAACTCCTGATTCTGAATGGTAAGTTAGGTATTAGCCCATATTTTCCATTAGTTGAAAGATGCATAGTTGCATACCATTCATTATTTTTAAAGCATTACCAGAGCTCTTTGCCTATTTGTATGTTGCCATTAGTTGGAATAACAGTGAAAATGTTTTTCTTCCAAATACAGATTGTGTATGATTTAATCTGCCCTATTATAGCCTCATCGTCATTATAGTTTTGTTGCATGGTTATACTCTGTAATTAGCAAACTGTCAAAAACAATAGAAGTTTTTCAAAATAAAACATCAAGAATATTATCCAATTTTCCACAGGGTACTAATTCTACCCTTTTATTTGCCAAGCATAGAATACTTAAGACTTGTTGTGACTTTTTGACATTGCAAAAGTAATGAACCAATACTCAAATTTGTTGACAAGAGCTTGAGATTATAGTTTTACAGCTCAATGTTTTGTACACAACCACCACATCTGCCAAGCTTGAAAAACCATCTGATACATTGGGGTTAAAATTTAGAATAATTTCCCTCCCCGAATTAAAAAAATGACGAAACACGGTTAAACATTTTGGTTATATTTCGTATAAATATGTAGGCCTATTATCATTTCCCCTATATCATATTTTTATGAATCAGTGTCGCATCAGCATAAATGTTGATCCTTCTTATTTTTTTGTTTTGTTTATTACAGGTAGTTTATTTTTACATTTATGAAGACTTTTTCACATAATCTACCAGTATTGATACCTGTCTATTATAATTTAGTTTAATATAATATTGTATGATTATACTACTTCCTCAATAGATTATTTCAAGGAAACAACCCAACTACAACTGCCAGAACAGCATTGCATCAAAATGATACACAGGGGAATTCCCTGATTCTAAAAAGCATATTGAATTGTTGTGCAGCGCCATCTTGAGTCCATGCTGTACTTGTCTCAAAAGTGTTTATTTACAATTTGATAACTTTGCCAAATACTGTATAAAGTTTTATTCATAAAGCTGAGAATTTGATTGGTTGCATCATTTTATATTTGTGTGGCAGAACATTGAACTTGACATGACATAAAAGAGCAACTTTATATTTGATTTTATAGTGAAGAGTTGAAAGTCAAGTTTAAAGATCCTGTACCGATTGGTTCAGTTGCACGAAGAAAACTAACCATTGAGAATACGACAGCTATCCGAGCACCATGGTCTGTTTCTGTGAAAAATTTTGCAGTAAGATATTTATTATTTATGTGTATTTAATGGACATTATTTTATTTGAAGATTATGGTTTACAGGAAGGGGCCCCAGAAGTATGTGTACCAATATGGAGGTAACTAATTTTGTTTGCCTACTTTACATCAAGTAGTGTAAAGGTATGGAAGGCTATGGGCATGGTGTATATTTACTTGGCTAACACGAACAGTCCCCAAACTCGTAATAGCACTAAAGGAAAATCGGAATAAAATTATGGCCTAACCTTAACCCGGTACACATACTACAGGAGGATCCACAGGAATTTGAAAAAGGATTTGAACTTACTTACTGAGGCATATTGGTTAATATGATATATCATAATGAAAGTAGTTGAAGTATTAATAAGACAATGGGCGATGGAAAAGCAAAAAGATATTATGATTGTTTTTTTTTTTTGGTGAAAATATCTCATTCAAACTCTTATTCTGTTTTACATTTTTTTCTCTGATATTTTATTGCAGGCTAAACCTCCAGTTCCTCCAACAAGTAAATTTGATTTTAAAAGTGCAAATACAAGAAGAATGATGTTGGGTAGAACTCCTAATCTAGCAGACCCTATGGCTAAAACCAAGAAGCAGGCATATAAAGGTATATATTCTTACTTTTAGCATTTTTTAACTATTGAAATTTGTTGAGAGGTTCATATAGTCAAACATCTCCATGGGCTCACCCCTGCTTTTGCAGAGGCTTGTATTTGGTATTATTAACAAACGTAAAATAATTTATAATTGGTTAAACTTTTTTGCTTTTTCTTGTTTCATTTCATTTGCAACATCATTTCAGACCACTGCAATCTAATGTTGAGTGCAGGGCATGGAGCTGCTTTTGTCGTTTTACCATCATTTGGATTCCTTGAACCTTTTCAAACCCAAGTTATTGAAATTGAATGCTATTCTAATATGTGGGGGAAATATTTGGATGTTGTTGAATGTGATATTGAAGGTTTGTTTTTGTATACCTGTTCTTTTTTATTTACAATGTTTAGTTTTCATTATTATCATGTCAATTGAAATATATCATGATCTTCCACTTTTGAGGCGTTTTTCTCTAACATGAATCCAGATATAGTGGGCTAATGGCCTTGGACGAACTGGAATTTTGTTATGTAGGTAATCATGACCCTATCTATGCCTGGCGGCTATAATTAATGTAAACATTCTATCTTTTTATTGCTGAAGATTTACCTTTGTAAAATTAGAGTGTGTAGGAGAATCTTTGTGTTTTGATATTTCCAATGCCTTATCTTGTTTATCGTTCAGGCTTGCTTTTGAAACACATTCCACTGGAACTGGATGTGACTGGTTGTCCTCTGCAGTTTCAAGTTGTGGCTGGCCAGGAAAATAAGATGGCAGTTGTGCGATTTGGCACTCATATCAATGATGGTCCACAAGTACAGAGGAAAGTCAAGGTCAACAACACCAGTCCTGTTGGTATGATCAGTTGCTTTTTTTTTTATTTCTGGCAGAGATGACAATGTTTTTTATACTATTTTTTGTGTTGTACATTATCCACCAATTCATAAACAATCATCCAAAAAGTGTAAAGTATGTTTTAAATAAAAAGACAGTTAAAAAACCCAAGTCAACTCATATTCCTAAATAACTTGCATAAATTTATTTAGTCATGTGTCATTGATTATAAATTATTTTTTCACAGTTTTACTTCTAGATCATTTGTTGACTAGACAGCGCAAACTCATTCAATTTACCCTATTTATAACTTATTCGACAATAAAATGTTAAAAATTTTTGAATTCAAACACGACTTTTATTATGATTGGCTGGTACAATGAAGAAGAATGTTTCATATTATTTCATGCTAACTTTGTCTGATGTATACCATTTTAATAAACAATTTTCAACTATATTAACTTCAACTTATGCCGCTATCAATTTTTGTCAGACATCAGAGTCGATTGGTGTGTATTAAATACTGCAGAACTTGATGATAGGAAGTTGTTAGATTTAAATGTTTGGTATGGATCTGCATTTCCAAGAAGAGATTCTGATGGAAATGAAATCACACCTCAACAATACGAACCAAAGCAATCTGCCGAAATCCGTCATACAAATGAAATGTACTATAATGATTCACCAGAGTCTGGTCTGACGGAACGATCTGTAAGTGATTTGGTTTAAAAGGTACATAAACCCTAGTTTGGGAACCCCTGGTTTAAAGATGAAACTTTTATTTTTAGAATTTGACCGAAGGTTCTTCCTTGTCTTATGATATTCAACCAAAAGTTGTAAATGTAAGACTTGAAGAACATCATGGCAAAATTTCAAACATACCGTTCAGTATTCAACCATCACAATGTGTTGTTCCAGGTAACTTTTTCTTTTCTCCCTCACTCTAACTTGTTGTTAGCATGCTAGGCCTACTATAGGATTCAATGTGGCATATTGACTACTCTGGATTAAATATGAAATATCTATCCTATTCTGGAATATTCTGTTAGAGAGAGAGAGAGAGATTTATTATTCGTCAACGATAAAAACAAACATTGCAACAATAATAAAAATATACAACAATAAACTCAAGGTCATTTGGTATAGACTGGGAGCAGCGATACGACCATACAGTCATCAGAGTCAGCTTCCCCAAAAATGATTGATTGACTTTTCACAATATTTGGTCTGCAGAAGTTATGAGCAACACTTTATGAGTCACTCTTTATCAAAATTCCTTATATTATTTTTTGCATAATTGTTTTTAATTTATCAAAATCGATATCATTTATAACAATCACTTGCACACTGTGTCCTTCTTTTGATATTTGTATGAAATCTCTTTTGAAAATTTTATATTTGCTTACTTTCTTCTATCATGTCTTCAAGCTATTTTGCTTTAAATTGACTTGGATTGTTCGCTACTCCGAAAAATAGAGTTTATCACTTCTCGGTACTGATATAACATTGGGCACTGTTCATTTATTATTGGTCATCATTTTTTCTTATGTTAGTATTACCATATTATTGTTTCTGTTTCAGCCTATGGTCATGTTGTTGTATCAGCTGTGTTTTCACCAACCTTGGGACTGTTTAACAAAACTAATAGTAAAGAATATATTTCTTATGCTCATGGTTACATGTCTATTGATAACACAAAATCAAAGGATATTCCTGAGAAGGTATATAGTTCAGTGGTCTGCAAACTTTATGTACTAGTGGGTCAAATATATCTATTACCGGTAGCATGTGGGCCGCATTACTTTCTGCCTACAAACAATCACAACATTAATCGTCAAATTAATGAGCACCCACGACTCCTATTCAAGTCTTAAAACACAATTTATTGTTTTTATTTACTCATCCCAATGTGAAGGATGATGTCGTTTTTGTATATGTGATGGCCTAAGCATTAAAATAAACTCGCAACTTTGTTGTTCCGCAGTACGTCTTTTAAATGATGATCTTTGAACCTCGTCGTCAACTTTCCTGTGTTTCCAGGACATTTTAATGCCAATTTTTGAAAATCAACTGAACTGATTCCGGTAATTACAACTAACAGCAGACACATATAACTGAAGCTACTAAAAACCAAACGTTATACAGAAGCCATTGTTATGACATAAATTCACATGGAGACAATTATAAATTCAGGATCAATTTTTGTTTATGTATTAAATGTGAGGTCGTTCGGGGTCCACAAAAAATTAGTTTGTGGGCTGCATTTGGCTAGCGAGCCACAGTTTGCCGACCACTAATATACCGGTAGTTGATCATTGTGTTAATAAATACCTTAAATTAGTTCTTTTAGGTTTATCCTTTCCCTATCAAGTTACCCTGACCCATCGAGTAACACCCTTCAGGATTTTTAAGAAAGAATCTTCTAATTTACCCTCCTTTTTATATGTTTTAAAATACAGCATATGTGAAGTGCACAAAGCCATCAAGATGTTTACAAAAGTTGTTAGTAATGTAGTTAACTTCCGAAATAGTGCAAATCTTTCAGATTAAAACCATCCTGAACCACCGTGAATTGTTCCCTGACTTGGCCATAGCCAGAGTCCAATATTCTTATTTATGATCTAGAAACCTTGCCAGTAACACTATCAATATTCTAATCAGTTCCATTGCTGGATTGTTTAAAATTGTCATTTGATAAACTAAACACATAGGCTACATTATGTTAATTTAAATTTTACTAATTTAAAGCTGATGCGTACAGATGGGTATTCTGTGCTGCCACTCAAACTTCAACTGACAGCATTAGTTAAAACCGGATCCATCCGGATAGAACCTGATGAAGAGGAAGATGAGGAATTAGAGGGAGAATGTGGAATTCAATTCAAAATTCCTATCAGCGACATGTTGATTTTGAAAAGTAGAGTAAGTATCTTTAAGGATTCAATGTCTTTTATTATGAAATTAATCTGTGTAACTATGATCGATATATACCCGTATATATATTTGAATACCTTGAATATCTATTTCAAATGCAAAGGTGACCTCAAGAGCTGGAGCTCTCATTGGAAGGTCATTTGAGATATATGGGATCCCGAATATTACAAAAGGATATTTAGATTGTCACATTAGCAAATTTCAATATTTTTTCAAAAAGTCATGACTCTGTTGATGTTGATTAGAGATACTGACGAACCATGCGAATAACACTAATTGAGCTTAGATGTTAACAACTCTGCATTGCATTTCATATAATGCAGATCTCCAATCAAGTCATTGTTATCTTGCTGCTTAGGAATGTACGATTTATTTGATATCAAGTAGGCAAATGTGTATTGTATTAGTCACATACTGACACACGTGTATAATTTTGTGTGGGAGTTGACTCTTCGTTTTCAGAAAGTTGTGTTTGGATACACTGCTTTAATCTAGTGTGTTTTTCAGTTCGAAGTTTGGATAGTTGAACTGAACAAATTAGCAATAACTTGAATGATTTGTGAGATTTCGCCAAATTTTTGGTATGGTAAACTAATAGATCTGGGCTCACCTCTACACCACCCAAACATCAATTAAATGCATTTATCTTCCTTTTCAAATTAAAATGAAAGTAAACTAAAAAATATTAAATTTATTTCGTCCTACTGGTTCTTTTTTGCAGTAATCACAAAGAAGTATGGTGTCCATGACTTTTTTTGATATCCGACTAGCATTCTAAAATTATGCTTCATATGAGTCAGAAATTTATTCTTCGTTATATTAAAGTGTGACAATGAAAAATGCATTGGCAGAACACTTAACTGAATAGCGCTCGAAGCTTTCTTGAAATTCAAAATTATTCTGGATACAGATCTGGTCCGAATTACCAAATTTCTTTAGCTTATAATAAACATTAGTATGATAGATCAGAAACAGTTTAAATCAGTGCTTCCCAAATTTTTTTCAGTTTGCGACCCACTTTTGTTGCCTTTTTTTGTGCGACCCTCAATCAGATGTGGATATATGAGAAAAGAACTAATGTATCCCCAAGTAATTTAGTTTTAAAGCGAAGCTTGATTTTGCCTATTGAATATTACCAAATCGAGGCTTAATAAGAGTCAAGCCTGCACGCAACGTAGCATTTACACTCAACACATTTCCTTTTGGCTCAAAGTTATTTTCTGCCTTAATGATAGTTGTCGAGTTATATTTTCTCACTACAACTCTTATAAGATTTCCTTTTTTTCACTTGGTTACCTTTTCTTTTTAAAAATTCTCCATTTTGTGGCTTACAAGAATCAAACAAAGTTGGAGTGTTAAAATAAAGCTTAGCCAGTATTTAGAATGCAACTCATTGGATACAAGATTACCAATTACATTAACTGGCGTCTTTCTGCCTTGTAGCCTACCTACAGTTTCTAACATGTGGGAGCGTACTGGATTTATTAACGAGACACAACGCACGATTCTAATTGTTACATTGTTTCATAATTATTACCTAATGATAATGCCACAATTTCCAGACCCACCTTGATAGACACTGGTTGGGAAGCACTGGTTTAACTGACAGTTTTGATGAACTGAGGATATTATAACAACAAAACTTAGAAATACACTGGAAGTTGTCTGTAAACACATTCAGAGCTAAATATCAGAACTTTCTGTTTGTAACTTTATACGACCCCCGGCTAGATATTTTCCCAATCAGTTAAGTCGTGTAACTCAGGTAATAGTTTTTTAGAATATGCCAGATCAATAAACCTTAACTATCTACCTGAACAAAAATTCCTGTTCTATTTTCAGGTTGCATCTGAGGCTGTTCAATATCGACATTGCACTTTAATGAATGATACTGAAATGCCAATCGACTTCAAATTATCAATTACCAGACCATTTTTCCTGTCTTCAACCAAACCAACAACTGATAAGAATGGAGACCGAATTACTAAGGAACTGAGGATTGAAGCAAGTGCCAGAAATAGATTGCGACCACAGGAGAATTTGAGAGTGAGTAGATATTTGATCTTTTCATGAAGATATCTGGGACTTCTTATTCAAAATCGATTTGGACTTAAAATACATATACTTGACATATATTTAAAAATGTGACCAACTACCAACAATTTAGAGTGTTCTTGATTCCTTGAATATGATCCCAGTTATTACTTTGCTGATGTTTTGAATCATTTTTAAGTCATCATCAAAAGTAATATATGTATTTTCAATACTCAACTAGTCGGGTATTCCATTCAAATCGGCTAATCAAATAATTTTGTCAAAAACATCAGGCCTACACATCAGGGCAAGGGAAGCTATTGATGCGGCCAATTAAGATTTTTTTCAAAAACATTCACTTACACTAACAAAAATGTATGAAAGCATGGATTTTGCGCAAAGAACAATTTTAAGTATATTTTATAAGTTCAAACACATATAATCTCATTATAAAGTATCAATTGTTGTTTGGGTTCCATCCTAGATTATCTTAATGGCAAGAATTGTTTTGAAATCAAAATTTTTAAGTTTCTTTGGTTTAAATTATCTTCATGCATTTGCTTCAAATGTATGCTTTTGGTAGGAGTATCCCATGACATTTTGCACTGTGTGAGGAACAAACTGTATTGGAATGTATGGATAGAAAAGTTAGGTTTCAGCAAATTTAAAAATAAAATAAAAGAACAAGTGAAAATTAGGGTTGCAGAATGTACAAGCGAATATTTATTTTTGCATATATCTCAAATATCTGTTCTATTTGCTGTAAAGTTGTGTTAGCTTCTATTCAATACATTACAAGATTCACATTACAAGGCACGTTAAAGATAATCACCTTGACATCTGGAAATGGTGACCTGATTTTTGACAAAATTTAAGGCAAAGCTGAGATTGGGAAATTTAACCTTCAATATGATTATCAGTACATTTTCGAACTTACTCAGGGCTTATTTCACAAGCAAAACGTTCCAAAGTAAGAATCATAAATATGCAATGAATCCAGCTTCTAATATAGGATATTGACAGACTTTCATTCTTGAGTGAAAAGCTCATTGTCGAAAGATCCGGAGGGAGTTCCTACATATTTACAAATGGAAAATATTTAACCACAGGCCTCAATTATATATGAAAGAGGGCACAAAGAATTTTAAAACTGTTTGCAGGAAGAAGAGTTAAAAAACCTACCTGTGCTGTATTAACAAAGTGAATGTTCAGCTGGTTAGGAACGACCTACATATACAAGGAAACTTCCCAGTACCAGTAGTAAGAAAAATTTTCAGTTTTACCAGAGGATTGCTCTGGTTATATGTCAAATACAGTATTTGGTTAATTTGCTTTGTTAGCTGATGTTTTGCAGCATTGGTTTTTTAGTTTCATAACCATATTGGAATGGAAGGCGGCTGATCTGATATCCATCGAGTAGTCTGGCTGACAGTCATATAAATTTGGCATCGTACCCTTTACCAGAGTTTATTTGCTTGAATGTACCCACTTTGTTGATGCACACGAGGCTGCCTTATTTGGTGTTTGATTAAGTTGATAAATACTAAAGTGTGAATTATGGGAATAATGTCATTCTATTGTAAAATCAGTCACTGCTACTCATTGTAGTATTTGGTTGTATTAAGCATGTAAACAACGGACACATCTAGTGGCATATAGCCTGCACTTAGTTAGATGGGAGCAGATTTGGAATTTCCCATGGAAACAAATGATAAACAAATTTGGTCTACAGATTGACAGTTGGAGTACATTTCACAAATTCATTAAGAATACTGTCATGAAGTAGAAGCTGTGACACAGCCAGTACGAGGTTTTATTTATAAGACTAGTAGGTGTTGAGATGAACTGCCAGGCCAACAAAGGCAAGCTATACAACCAACAAAAATATAGAGTTGATATTTGGTCTACGAAAAGTTGGATAATTCAATACCACTGAGACCGAAAATCTTATGTATATGATGTATAAACACTGTGAAAAGTTCAGACACCCGAAATAATTAGTCTTTACATTCTAATAAGTACCTCTCTTCTCACGACTTCGATTTTTATGTTAGAATGAGAGATTTGAGAAAAGGTTCTAACGGGAGTTGAACATATTTAAAGTTGGGCTCAGTCGCATTTCGATATCGTTCATTTATTTACCTGTCATGATTTCCATTCCGAGTTATTGTGGATTGGAAGTAGGTTTCATCTAATCATACTCTCCATATTCGCGGGCTTGTCGGGGTTTGATGAGTCTGAATGAAACATCGCATCAAGGAGACGCATTGACTCCAGTGGGCGTCATCAATTTCAAAATGATATAGGCGGGGCATTGTGAAGAGATTTACAGCACCATGTACAATCGTGATCGTTTGATTATTACCGTTATAAGGTTAGGCTTACTGGCAATTTTGCTCATTTTCTAAGTTTGTCGTTGCATAAATGATGTTGAAAATTAATATCTAGTCTTTGGCATCATATAGTTCACCATTTATTTTTTTATGATTCTTTACTAGTCTAAGCAATGTTTTTGTATTTCATTTGGATTGTCAACTGGCATCTGTTCGCTGACAATAACTCGGAGATCGTACATTTTGGTTTTGCTTGAGAGTTTGCTTGTAGTTTCATTGCAATTTTCCTCTTCGCAACTCCCGCCCGTTATGGTATTTATTGCTCCTTTTGTGTCTCCCCGGCAAATACACGAGGACGCCTATCCCCATGTCTACAATTAGAGTTGAAATTACTTGTTATATATTTCCAGGTCAGTGATAAATAGGCCCCGGGTCAATAAGTCACTCAATTATTCAACTTCATCACATAAGTATTTTTCTTTTTAATATATCTTTCACGTCAATGACAAATCATCACGATACTCGTTAGCCAGTATATCATATTTTTTAACGATTCATGTGTTTTTGTTATGATTCATGTCCGTGCTATGCTGCAGTAAATAAAATGGGCAATTAAACAGGTACAGATACTAGAATACCTATTTAATAATGGGCACAATAATATATTTTAGTTGACAGGTAAAGTTTTATGTGACGTTGAAAGACTAATTATAATGCCAAGATGTTAAAATTTCCATGTCTGTTCTGTATGTAAGCGCCTGACTATGAATATTCGGTCTTCCAGTTCTTGTTTTTTTCATATTTTCTTATGTGTTTTTACAAGATTTTACAAATAAGGACTTTTAGGATTATCATTTAGACATTGAATATGTGCAAACGACTCTATGTGTTGTTTGCACTTTTAATTTCCTGTATTAAAGAAGTGTATCTATGCCCGGGAAAATGTACGTGCACCGACATCAGTACGAACTGCAGTGGAACTGGCCTGACTTCTTTTCCTGCTGATTTACCAGAATCGACGATCCGTATAGAATTGCGTTATAATAATATTTCATCTATCGTGGAGGACGATTTTAAGGGCCTGAAAAATTTAATCTCACTCGATCTGAGATTTAACAAGCTGAAGAACATCGGAGATGAAGCTTTGTTCATTTTAGATAATTTGGAAATCTTGAATCTTGATCACAATGAATTATTGATGTCAGATGCCGGCATGTTCGTTTATGTCGAATATTCACTTATTAATCTAACTGTAAGTCACAATGAAATGGCGGGACAGCTGTCCCGGGATATATTTCAGTACATGAGTAAATTGAAATATTTGGATTTAAGTTTCAACAGTATAAAGTCTATACAATCGAGAAGCTTTCCTGAGTCTCTAACGTATTTGGATTTGAGCAACAATCCGATTGCCTCTATGGCAATAGGCGTTTTCAGAGATCTGGAAAATTTAGTTTATTTGGATATGCGCGAAACCCAACTGAAATCCGTTGCTAATTATTTTGCTGATTGCATTTCGCTCCATACATTGCTGTTAGGGGGATACAATCTTGCATCAATGTCGCAAGAATCACTCCAAGGTCTACATAATTTGGCTACGTTGTCGTTGGAATATACCAGCTTACATATACTGCCAGACAATGTTTTTCTTCCCACTCCAAACCTGAATGTGCTGAGACTTGAGGGTAATAAAAAGTTGACAATAACGACAAATATAATATCACCATTGACTAATTTAACAGTGCTATATTTTGAAGACAATGGCTTTATTGACTTGTCGTTTGTTAATGTCCTGAGAACGCTTGAAGCACTATTTATAAGCGGTAATTCTCTTACGTCCATACCTGCACTGGGTAATTTAAAAATACTCAAAATTTTGGATATTTCTCGTAACGTTGTAAAAAGGTTGTCGTTGGATTGGCCGTTAAATGAACTTGAAATGTTGAATTTATCCAGCAACTCCATTAGCGATGTGGACAAATCTTTCTTTTCCAAACTTCCTGGGTTGCGTTCTGTTGATTTAACAAGTAACGTATTAACTCATCTTGTATCGTCGTGGTTTGTGAAGAATGACAAACTTAAAGAAATTATTACAGGCAATAATCCATGGACATGTGATTGTTTAATGAAAGAAATACATGGATATCAGCAAATATCAAAATTTTATGCGATTTGCGATGCAATCGGATCATTCATTAAAGGTGGCATCGTCAGCACAGAAACGTTTTGCATTCGCTGTCAAAGCCCGTTTCAATACAAGGGAATATATTTTGATATGGTACCATCGGAACATTTCGAATCATGCTCGGATAATAACGCAAATCTATTAACTACAGGAAATTTACTAAACTCAACCTTTAAACCAACTGTTGATTATCAAGCATCTCAACAAGTTATAAACTCTCTAATTCCCATCATTTGTACATTAGTTATGCTTTCAATGCTCGGAGGTATTGCTTATTTCATAAAGAAAAAGGATATGAGAAAGACAAGTAACGATGCTCCACCACTCCCCAAACCAAGGACAATTACCAACTCGACAAATCTTCCAGTGGACGATGGTTTTGAACAATCGTACGCAATGGCAGATTTAGGAAAATCAAACAACTTGAATTCTGCTATTTATAATGAGTGTGATTTTAACATGACGAAATTCAATCAATCTTATGAACACGATACAGCGCCTTCATGCGAAAATATATATGAACCTATTGATTTTCGTATTCCTCAGACAACGTGTAAAAACTCAAAATGTGATGTATCACAGAAACCACTCGATTTCCCTACTGATATAACACATACAATGCCGAGTGTTTCAAACGAATATGAGGACGTACCTCGTCGCCTTAATACCGTTGACTACTCCAATAGTAATCCATATATTCTACCTTCCTCTGTACCTGCGCCTAGTTCAATTCCACGTGCTCAAACTGTATTAGAAAGTCCTTATTTGACACCGTCTCTTGATGCGAACTTATATGATTTACATGCACCACCTCCACCTCCCGATCAGGATGAGTTTGAACACAATTCAGAATCGGCGTATGAAACGACTCCTAATGCCTATCTTGAGTTTAATGCTACTTAGTATGTATTTTCTTTTTTCACAATAAATATTCAGTAATTTCAAAAATATGATAATGTATTTAAGAGATCGCCTGTGGACTGATTTTACCAAGCGTTGGGAACAATTTTGCTTTGTCGATTACTTAATAAGATTAGGGCTTCCTTCAGGCTAATCACGGCTGACTACTGGAACAAAATAAAATGACTTACTTGTCCTCACACACGCCCGGCTTCGCCGTGATCTGAGCTTGCGATGTTACAAAGTCGTGTGTCTTTCCTTATCCAAATATTTTCCTATACCTAACTATTAGTGAATTCCCCAAAATTCCTATATATTGAATGTTAGTTTCTATCAACGAATGGGAAAAATTTTGACGAAGCGGCTCACAAATCTTCGGCGATGTCTTTAGTAGTATTGCATGCAATAGTAGTAGATTACGACAAAAATCTGAGTGTTTTTTTCGCAAATAAATTTATCTTTTCGACCTTATGCTCAGAATCAAAACCGGCTTATTGTGCACAAAATAAGTGCCCGTGTTTCGTTTCAAATAGATCGAATAATCGTAACTTTTTGTGCTGTTAAATATGCCATTGTGATATTATCTTATATATTAAGCTATATTCATATAGACACATTGTCAATTAATATCCACGCTGATGTGAATAAACGTTTGAAACAAACATGATTTGATATATTATACAATAATTCGACTAACAATGGAGCAGCAGTATTTGATTATTTAATTCAGCAATTAAGAATTCTTTCGGTTTTATCTTTGTATTAAACATGCAATTTTCGCCTGGTCTAGTTTTTGCTATAACTTTTTAGTCCATTTCGTATGTATTATTCGACTCATATCGTTTATTTTCGGTTGTAGGTTTTCGAAATTGTACTTTTTTTTCTTCCAGTGGAGATTCGCTAAAATCCATGTAGGATGCTTTTCTTTTGTTTGCAGCCATTTCTACTTCGTATGCGGATTGTGGGCTCATCTTGTTGCCGCTAGTTTCAATTGGTGGTGTGGGAGGCGGTGGGAGAGTTTGATAAGCATCTGTGGGGGAACGTTCAGGTCTTGCTATAGCGCCTGTTCGACGCGAATCTTTGATAGAATCGTGTGTCCCCAAGATATCGTCAACATAAGGACTTTCGGAATCATTTGAAGGATTATACCGTCTAATTGTGATTGTATCTTTGCACACATGTGGTGTGGGACTTTCTTCCGCCTTCTTTTGTTTGACGCTGCAGTAGACATGATCCGTACTCATTGCGTACTCATATCCATTGCCCGATTCTGGAATTTGGTGATATAGCGAGCTATCTGCTGTCCGGTCCGAGACCTGACTGTATAATGGGTCGGAGGGATCTGATGCTCGAGATGTCACTTCTTTTCTTCTGTGCCTACGTACCAATAAAATCATTATAATTATGCCGCAAGTTGTACATATTGAAACAGTAACAACTGCCACAAATATTGATTTAGAAAATGTCGAAGTCATAACAGGGGTAGTAAACTCTCGGCACTCTTCCAAGTAATTTGATATGTTTGTGAACATTTTTCCGTCGTATATAGGCGGACTGGAACATACCACGCAAGCATCACTGCTTGTGTTAAACTCGTAATTGTATAAAAGATTGAATTCGTTAGACACGTGGCACGAAAAAGTTACGTCAGATTTTGATATGGCTTCTTTCATATCACAATCGCAGGCCCAGGAATTGTTCGACGTGACTATGTAAGTAAGGTAGTCATCCAGCCACTGGCGTTTTAGTTTTGATATTTTGTTTTTCGACAAGTCCGCGCCCAATAAAATAGGAAAATGTGCAAAGAAGTCATCTTTTACAACATATATCTCGTTATTAGACACGTTAATGCCAACCAAAGACTCAAAATTATTGTTTGTTTGTAGTTCAGTGAGTTTGTTGAAAGATAAGTCCAAAACTTTCAGCTTAGGAAGCTTCCTTCCAAGATAAGATGGAAATATTGTGATATTATTCCCAGCGATTGATAAGTATTGTATATGTCTAAAATTGTTAAAAAGTTTTGCATTAAATTTCATGTCACCACGGTTTCCAATCAAATAAAGTTGTAGGAGTTCAGACTTATTTCCAAATAACTTGTCTTCGAAATGGTCAAATGTGTTTTCGTTGAGGTGTAAAACGGATAACTTGGAAGTCTCGGCGAAAACATGCGCGGGCAAAGAAGACAAATTTGAATCTTCGATCACTAATTTTGTTAAGGACGTCAATCCTTTAAAAGTTATACTAGATATGGTTGAAAGATGCGGTCCTCCCATATAAAGTTTCTCTAAAGATTCGCAGTTTTTAAAATAGCTGCTTTTCATCGATGACATTTGCATATTTATTAAATCCAAAGTGAGTAATTGTGTTGTTAAACGAAACGTTGAAGTATATATTTGGTCGATAGGATTGTTGCGTATATTCAGGTGCAACAACGACATTGGAAAAACAGTGTTGTCGGTTACAGAAGGTATCTCATTGTAACTCAAATCCAGGAAATTTAACTTCTTGTGCGCGTAATACGTCAAAATAGAAATTTCGCGGGAAATTTTGTTGCCTTGAAGTGTTAATTTTTCCTGTAAGAAAAAGTATTGGATTTTATTTTTCCAATATATATATATCTAAACTATTTAAATAGACCCTCAATATTGTCATAACAAACAAACTTGTTTGGACTCTGGTTGGTCTTCCAATTTCCAAATCATTTATCCACCTGTCGTTTTGAAAATATGGGTATTCACTGTATACATTGAAACTAGCGGAACAATCCAAATTGTACATAGACTATGCAATTTAAATAAACGGATAGAAACCATATTTCGCCGTTGGGAAAGAAACGTGATGCGAGATTTGGATCAATCCTATTTCGAACTTTATTAAATTTGGGCCACTCAGCCAGACAGAGAAGATTTGCAGAGGCATCAGATCAGATAAGATCCAACTTTTAATGAAGCTCACTTAGCAATTGATAGGGGGTGTTCGAAATGTTGAGAACAGGCTCTCCTTTGATTTGAACTCACCAACAACTAGTTCCCTTATTTCATAAACCCGGGCCGAACTTATAGGAACGTAACATAACATTACACGAAGAGAACAACTTGAGCTTAATATTCACTATGTCACTACGGAAACTTCCTTATTACGACACCAGCCTAGAACAGGAACGGGTGCGCTGATTATTGTTCATGCGAACCTCCTGAATCCCACTGTAACTTATAGTTATAGTCCAAATTCAGACAACGCTATTATTCTTAAAAGTTCTATTGTCGTCATTCAATGATTTTTACCTCCCTTTAGTCAGTTTATTTCAGTACAAAACCCAGATATATCCGTGAGATTATTTTGAAAATCTTTTTCTTAACTCAACAGTACTATAAACACTGTCTACAGTCTTACACTAACAATTTACACGTGAGCTATCGTATTGCAAACTCACCAAAGAATTTTCAGTATTTCCAAATGGGTCATCTCCTTCAAAGTTTATTTGGTTATGATCCAGTAATATGGTACGCAATGTTCTCGGCAGTTTTCCATCTTTCATTGTTTCTATGTTGTTATGAGACATGTCCAAAACTTCTAATTTTACGAATTCACTAATTTTCATCAAATCATCACTGCCTAAATGGTTATGTGCTAAGTACAGTTCTGTAGCGACCGTCGGAATGCCTTGCGGAAGGATTTTGAGTCCCTTGTTGGCACAATTCACAATTGTGCTTCCCATGCATGTGCACATATCTGGACATGCAGTTGTTGTTATTACTTCCATTGCCAATAACACGAGTATTCCGAGCGTCCAAGCCATTGTTATACTTAGTAATTCAGTGTAAAATAGATATCACGCTTGCAGTACCGACCGTATTAATATTATATAACATTTCCGCTAAATATTCAATGGAACTTACTAAGTTGTTTTTACTTTTAACACTTTCAAACAGACGGTGCATTTATATATATCATTGTCGCTTTATCTTCTGTCAATTGTAACTTTTGTATAGATTAAACCATTAAATAATTTGTTTATTTAGCTCTCCACTAGCATAAGTATATACGTGGTGTATAATTTTTTACAAAACGAATAATACCGTCGTTTGAATCTGAGTCATTTACGCCACGATAAATTTACAAACGTAAGATTCGACATGCGTTATCGGAAGCTCACGCCTGATACATATTTCCTAGGTGGAATTTTTTCTATGGTCATATTGTGAGTCTTGTGACTCAAAAATGTCTCGATGCATCGGAATAAAAATGTGAACACTCATTTGTCCCTTCGCCATATTAAAACCTGTGCTATTTTTCTTGCATAACAGATGACAAGTAATCGAAATGAATCGAAGTTAAAATGAAATGCTTTATTATAAATAATGACTACTTGTGATGACTTAGAAATCAGCGCGGTCCAGCAACAAAGTGCAAATTTAGATTAAGCATCGGCACTAGTAAAAAATGAATCGCAATCAAACACACTTCCGCTTTCGTGACCTCATTTAATTGATACTTGAGCATTTAAAAAAATCTTATTTCACAAAATGCATGTTTCACGTTGAGTTTATGTCAGTTCATTAGTACAACTTCTTAGGAGAGGACTGATTCAAAGATTTATTTATGGAATGGTTTTCTAGACAGAACCTTTTTAGAGTTTAAGATAACAGCGGAGCCATAATATATGTAAATTGAACGCAACGATGGCTTCGCCCATGGGAAAGAGTCCCTTGGTGAATTTCGAGCAAAGCATATTTTATATTCGTTTTTAATTCGAAATATAGGTTTGGCGAGAAGTATGGAATCCATTTTAACGGGTATTATTCACGTGCCGGATATCAGTCCGTGGCGGTGTTGCTATCTAGTTATTTGTTCTAGGTGTATGGTCTGAGGTGGCAGATGATGCCGTTGCCTATCAGGGATTACATGAACCCCTGTAAGGAACAGGGGTACGTACACCAATGCTTACTACACGCGATCATATGTCAGGGAGTTTGAAATGAGCAAAGCATGACAGAACTAGTCCACGCAAGGGCGCGGCGTATTAGTATTTTGTACTGATGAAATATTCGATCAAATAGGATGAAACTTTACTGACTAATTTTTTGTTTCTTTCGACAAAGAATGGCAATAGAAACAAAGATTTGATTTTTGTGATTACATTTATCTTAATCCTGGCCTATAACACCAACAAAATATTAACTGTGTTGGAACGCACAATAAATGGATTCAAAAATCGACCATAGCTGTTTTTCGTCGTCAAATATTACAGAAATAGGAGTATAGAAATAGTATAAAAATTTCAGAGTATATCAAAATATAGAAATATTATATCCGCGACCAATATAGAAATAGTATAGAAATTTCAGAGTAGACTATATCGAATATTTTCAATAAATTATTATTTTTAAATGTATTATTCCAATATCTGGATAGATATATGGATGATTATATTGTAGTCACGGATCAGATGTACTCCTTGGTTGCTTCGACGTAGAAAAACCCAACCGTGGTGCGATTCAGTATTGACGAATAATCTTCTTGAATAATCAAGCATATATTTGAATTCAACGAGCTTTTCTCCGGCTCTACACTTAAATATTCTCGTAACTATTTTCTTCTTCCAACATTACACTCATACCAGTTGAAACTCTTGACGACTTTATCGGAATAAGATAAAGGCTACTTGTCAATGGTGTACTCCTACGGATGTTTCCACTCTCATCAATTTCTGACCCTGAGTTGTTTATTTCTGATGCGTTTGTGTGTTCGTTGAACGACATGTATCCTTCGTCATGTGTGGGATTTCTCGTCGATTGTTGGAAATCAGGTTCTGGCCCAATAGGAACTTCATAGGGACCTTCGGGGCGTTCTCTGCTTGCAATGTTTCGCCTAAACATGGATGCTTTCAATCTCGCGAAAACGGACGAATTAACTGGCGGGGGAAGGGGTGTGTCGCTCTCATTTCTTTTACGACTGACTACTGATGCATATGTGTGATCTAAGTAGTTTCCAACTGGATCTGAAAATTCTTTAGGCCGGTCCAGATTATCTGATGCACTTATGTTGTTTCTCGACTTATCTTTGGTTCGTCTTATTTTGCACCAACAAATAAGAGTAATTATTAAAATAGTGATTAACATAAATCCACCGACTCCTGCTCCAATATATACATAATACATGATCAGTTCATATTCCGATGGTATTGTTGACTCGGCGTTTGTGGCGAGTGTACTTGAGGCTAAAACCAATAATTTCCATTTTATTATTGCCGCATTTGCTAATTGAATTGGTGTATTCTTATTTATTATCGGGTTTCTGTTGCCATTTTGCTGAACATGGCACAAATATCCTGAGATCACAACAATTATCGCACTTTTTATCCGAAATTTGGTTTTACCCAACTCTGTGGAGCGAATGGCGTAGGAGTGTTTATATATATTAAACATGGACGTTGAACTTACCCGTGAAGTTAGTACTTGTGCTGGGAACCGATGAAGTATTTGCTGAGGCAATGTCAAAAGCAACTACTTGCTCAGCAGTCATCCCAGCGTATATTTTTGGCGTATCGCAAATAAAGCATAGAGTTGAGTCATTATAGAACTTTTTTCCGTAATCTGCCTTCGTCAAATTTTTTAGAATTGTTACATTTGTTTGATAGTAATGGTAGGCACACTCTAAATCGACGTGTTTGTGTTCCAAAATTTGTTGATAGTGTGTTTTCATATTGTTGCCACAATTCCATTGATTATGATCTGCTAATATGACCAACTGTTCAACCTGGACAATTAAAGAATGATGATGAACTTTTATTGCTCTCGATGAAAATTGGCGTGCTAATAAAATTGCAGAAAATCATTAGAAGGCATTTGATATGAGTGGTAGTCGTGGTATCAATGTTCTTCCCCAAAACATTGCATTTCCTCATTACGTTACGGCTTATCTGTGATTGGTAAAATTACTGGTTGTCTAGCTAGATCTAGACTTTAGAACATGACGATATGCAGAAAAACATAATCAAATTTTCAATTCTAGATATCGACGCCATGCCCATCTATAAGAGTCGATAATATACAAAAAATAAATACTCACTTGAATGGTAGAAAACATACCCACGCTCCTCAGTTTGTTATGAGTGAAATCAACTAGTCCCAGAGAGCGACAAAATTGAAAGAAATCTTTCGGAATGTACGTTATATTATTCCACGCAAGACTCAAATATTGGAGTTGTTCTAGATTCAGGTTCCCATTCAGTGATGAAATCTTGTTATGTGCGAGGTATAGTTCTACCAAGGAAGTGACGTTTCCAAGCGATGTTCCATTGAAATGTAGGATTTGATTTGATCGCATATCCAAGGTTTGTAGAGATTGGAGAGACGTGAAAAAAGAATCAGACCACTCATATATTCTGTTTTTCGACAAGTTCAAAAACATGAGGGAGGTTATCACATTAATACCTTTGTACCTAGAATTTGTTGGCAACGAAGACAAATCGCAATCTATTAGGCTCAAATTCGTTAATTTATGTAATTTTTCCCACGTTGTCTCAAATATCACTGAAGAATTTTCAATGTACATCTGTTGACATCTGCATGACTCCGGAAACTTGTTGAATTCTTCAAATTTCATTATTGCGTTTTTCATATAAACTTTCAAGCCTGTATTGCATAAGCTAGAAATGTCGATGAGTTCGGAATTGTATACATTCACCAAGTACAACTCTTCGATCATTGTGTTTGTCAACAATATATTTGCACCAGACACGTAGCTAACGCTAAGTCGTGTCAAATTTGTCGGGAGCTTGCTCAGAAAAGATGCAGAGATTAGGGTATTACCATCTGTGTTTCCGGCCATTTCGAAATTTATAAGTGATTTCATGTTTGATAAGCTAAAATCGGGAAAAGTGAGAGGACATCCGGAATTTTGTTTACCGATTTTGAATTCGAGTAGATTTACATTTTTAATGTTATTAAATGTTCCAAGACAATTTCCAGTTAAATCAACACGTTTCAATGCGGAAAATCGCTGGATAAAATCCATACTATTCAAATTGTTGTTTCTGATGCTTAATCTTTCTAATGTGTTGTTAAATTTCGATAACGCTTCTTCTGGAAACAAATATATTTTATTGTCGTCTAAAATAAGTTGTCGCAAGGATGTTGTCATTTTGAAAGCACTTTTTGGAATTTCTTTAAGACTGTTGTTGCTGAGATCTATTATTTCTATGCTTGTAGTATCGAAAATCATCGAGCTTATCGTTTTCTCCGTGACCTGGTCGAGCCTTAAGATGATTTAATTTAATATTACGATTACTGAGAAACTTTAAGTTATTAAAGGTGATATTTTGGTAATAATTTTGTTATATATTTTCCACATCCATAAAACATTCAGGATTGTGAAACTATCCACTCTCAAAAATGCTGAATTGAGCACATAGATATCAATAACGCAATAAATTCACGCTTTGCTTGTTGAATCAATGACGTGACAATATTTTTCTTTGATTTAAAATAAATAAGTCGGCTTACCTGTTTCCACTCAAATTAATTTCCTTAGTTTCTGATTCTATTGATTCCGGTATTGTAGTGAGCCCCATATTTGAACAGTCCGATACCTCAGCTGCACATTTGCAGGCACATCTGTTTTTACAAGCACGACTTTGTTGTTTTGAAATCAGGCATAGCATGATGATACAAATAAAAAAATTTAACCAAAACATTTTGATTATTGGTTCGCTAAGAACTTGTTCTTTATAACGTGATATATATAGCTTCCAAGCAAGTAAACATTATGCAAGTGTTATGATTCACTGTGCGTAATGATTTTTAACATTAAATCGTAATGTGATTCTTCGTCATCAGTAAGCTAACTTCCGTTTCAACGCATTATCATTCCAAGGCAAAACATCGTCTTATTTATCGCTAGTAGATTTATTTTAAAAAGTATGAATTTTTGGGAAATATGTTCCTTGCAGTCATTGCCATTGGTAAGGGATTTAAAATAATTGGCAAATAATAATAGTTTGTATTAAATACCGTAATGAAAACTGCGTAAAATGTGTATCTATTAACTGTATTTTATGGTCTAATTTACCGTTCTCAAAGGTGATGATTTGGTGATTCACTCTATTAACTTTTGACATCCCAATAAATATATATATATGAGAGAGTCAGAGAGCATACATTGATTTTCGTTCGATCGTGTATGGGTCATTCTTTGAGCTATCTGTTTCCAGTGCCGGATAAAATACGGCGTTTTATAATGTGCATAATATCAAAATGTAGTTTAGTTTAATCTCACATTTCGTCTTGCAATATTCAATATTGTCGGCTATATCAGACCTTCCGGCACATTTGAAACCCACGAAAACTTTTGAATGACTTGTATATATAATATTTATATTATACATTGTTAAGAATTTTAAAGAAGTTTTTATGTTAATTAATTTTAATGTATGTCTACTTCAAATCAAGGTTTCAAGAACCCGTCTAGAATAATAAGTTTGTATAGACTCCATAATCAACATAACAGACGATAAAATTGAATAAGAACTGATTATAAAATCAGGAGAACAAACAGAACCTTAAGTAAGGTTTAAAAGGTATAGAATATGGGATGGAAGGTTTTGCAAAAATGAATCTTCACTCACATGAAATTAATAGATTAACACACATACAATCACAGTGATATTATGAAGTAAGAAAAATGCGAGAAACTTAAGATAAATTATATAATGCAGTGGTCGGCAACCAACCGGGCAGCGGCCCATTGCCGGTCCGCGGAAAGAGTACTACCGGTCCGCAGAAAGGTGACACAAAAAACGTACAATGCCCTAATAGCATTGTTACCAGTATGTGAGGTCAGATTTTTAAAATTGACAACTACAAAAACGAAATATTGAAGTAGGACGAACGTAAGAAATACGTTATACCTTTGTTTTTGAATGTAGTGATAACATAACTTTTCTAGCGCATATAATTTATTACATTAGATCAGTTCGTCTGAAATTTGTATAAAGGTGGTCCGCCAAAATTTTGGTTAGATGTTACCGGTCCGTCACTGAAAAAAGATTGCCGACCACTGATATAATGAACAAACAAAAAAAATAAAAATGATTTGCCACAAATATTAATTTTTTTATAACAGTTATGAAATTAAAAATCGATTCTGTAAACAAGAAAGAACAATAGAGAGAAAAATATTCATTCAAAGATATCGCCAAGTTGAATATAATTGGAGTCAACTGCCAAATTGCCCAACCAAAAGTTGCCAGCAAAAGTTTATATTTAAAAACGTCATTTGTAGAACATTTTGAAGTGGCCAATAGGCGTTGAAGTCCACAAATAAGTTTAGTACAACGAATAGCATTTGTGGATGAAGGAGTTATAGAATGGGGAGATATATCAGTAAACCACACCCAGAAATTGGAAACTTACAACTGTACCTTATTCAACCAAAATCACAACAGTAATCAATATAATTCTATACTACCCAATGGCAATTACCGCTGCATGCAGATGTGTTGTTTGTTTGCTGGTAATTTGAAATTATTTTCTGTTTCAAGGTCAAAATAGGATTCAAGTTATCATCCATCTTGTTAGAAGCCCTGGATTCTCTCAGAAATGAAGATATTGTTCCGGGAGTTGAACTGGAAAAAGATTCTGATACTGGTATGACTTGCAGCTAAAAATCTATGAGACCTGTTGGTACTCCCGTAGTGTGTGCAGAAGGTTAGGGTTAGGCCATAATTTTATTCGGATTTTTCTTATTTTAGTTCTATTACGAGTTCGGGGACTGTCTGTGTTAGCCAAGTGAATATACAATACCCCCAGTTCATAGTCTTCAGTGCCTTTAGACAATTTGATGTAAAGTAGACGAACAAAATTAGTTACCTCCACATTGGTTCACACACTTCTGGAGCGCCGACCTGTTTATCTTATTTTTCTTGAGTACTTTTTGATTCAGTGTTTTTTAATATCATTTTCATATCATTTAATGTTTGATTCCTATCATCAAAGTTTAAGATAAAAGGAAGGCTTATATTACATCACTTAGACAGCGACAAAGCATTACCTGCCAATTTTAGTCTTTTAACTTTTGTACTCTTGCTAACGTTTCCGTACATGACAGAAAAGAAACTGAAAATAAAATGTTTTGGGTCGATAAAGAACGAAAAATTATTTACTAACTAGTCATACTTGAAGATGAACTACTGAGACGAACGATGAACTTGAGATTGAACTATTTTAAGAAGACACTTTCTATCAAAATATATCTCGTCACCATTCGTCTAAATTTTATCGTGCCAATAATGTTCGAGTGAGGTCGATCTGAGACTGCCAGACGTTTTAAAATATAATTCAATTTGACAAAAATCGTTTTCAGGATCAGAAAGCATGTTATTTAACGATGAATTGGAAATCAACTTTTCAAGCGGTGCTCGACAAGTTATGTCAGTTCGTTCCAGAGTATATATACCTTCATTGAAACTGTCTCACAAGGAGTTGAATTTTGGAACATGCTATGTTGGACAAGAAAAATGTATTCAAATTAAAATAGAGAATATCGGCCGGTCGGATTCAATTTGGAACACATTATTAGGTAACCTCTTTGTTGCAACATAAAGTCGTTCACTGCATTTTTTTTTTGTAATCGCTGGGACACTCAAATCAATGGTTATAAAATTGCGACACCTCGACTACATTTGTTAGTTGGTGGCCTGATGGGAAGCTGGCTTTCTGTGCGGACATACCGAATTTTTCGGCTCATCGATTTTATTTTTAATTAGATATATCTGCGACCAAATCGATCCTATTTGCAAAATTGGCAAACTTTGTTTTGAAATACTGAAAATGTGGCGTATATACTAAAATTCCCGAATCATGCACTAGCTTTCACGCCATGTATGCAGTATGTTCCCCAGCTTTTCTTTTCAGGGGGGGTGTTTCGAAATTTAGGGGGTGGTGAATAATTTGCTACTAGAGATAAAACTAGGTCATTTGTATTCTTAAAAAAATGGTATGTATTTAAGAAACGATGTACATGAGGGGCCCCCAAGTTGATTGACGGCGAGCCAAAATCCACAGCAGAATAAATTGTAGGGCCATAAAAGGGGAGCGAGGAAAAGTACGGGACGTCACGGCTGGAGTTCTGAGAAAATTTTGAGAAATAGGCACCAAAATAGGCTCTAAGCTTGATTTTAGATACACCTAGCATCGCAGTTTGTTATGTAATGAAATCAATAATTATAATATTTAGCTGATAGAATTCCCGGGAAATAGAAAACAAGCACGGCTTTCAACCGTAAATATATACTACTACGTTTCAACAAGTAATTTGCAACTGATAGTGACTAATGAAGTTACTCGCTCATCTGACATTGTATGAATGGCTACTTATGGCTTGTTTTGTTACACATTTCACATTTTTTTGGAACATGTTTGTTTGACTTTTGTATGAATTAAGCAATGAATTAAATTTTGAAATACGCGCGTCAACTGATAATGTTGTATTCCTTCAGAACTGAAATATTTTTTGGTAAGAAGACAAATCGCTGAAGTTTGATTCTTTTCAATAAAGAAATAAAAACGCTGTCATTCATATAAAAAACGTCTGTTTTCAGTGCCTAGTTTTCGTTTTGTGACATCTTTAAGCTTTCCTAATATACGGCTGATATCTAAAATACTGCAGTGTATAATCCTAATACCCATACGTATACATAAGATACCGGTATAATTCAATTGTTACGAAATAAACGTGCTTAAACTGTGATAATGATGTAACAATAGACGGTATCTAAAACTCAAAAGGTACCACATGAAGGGCTGAATTATTTCACTCAAGTTCGGCGGGCCATTTTGATTCGTCACGCCGGCCGTAATTGGCCCGCAGACTGCGGTATAGAACCCCTCATCTACATTGCTAAATATGCCATAGTCGTTATATTTGAATACAATTATACTTGAGTTAGGAAATACAGTGTGGAATCGCACCTCAAAATTAGGGGGGTGTTCACCCCCTATATAGGGGGTGTAGGGAAATCACTGCATGTATGCAATATTCTACAATGTATGCTGTGATCAGAAATTAATAAAATAGCGCAGTCAGATTACTTGAAAGTTCCTTAAAACGAGCAACCGCAAAACAGAAACTCGACGGAAAATTGCAAACTCGTGCGAACTGATAACGAATAATTTTTCAATTGGTAATTATAAATTGAAGAAATTAGGGGAAAATAGGGGTAACAAGGTGTGCCCAAGATTGGGCATAAGTTTACGCTGCAGTCATCCAGCAAATAAATTAACGACAGGGTACACTAATATTAATTGACTGAATAAATGATATTTACAAGAAGCAATGAAGCTAGTGAGGTTTTCGTTTGTTTTTCTAGCTCAAGATGAGAAAGTTTTGAACAGGAAAAACTCTAGACAAAATTTGCTGTTTATGACGGAGTGCCTATCAATTTCTTTGAGTAGTCCATTTTAAAGTAATGTGTTCGTATCAAGAAGTTGGCGATGTATTCATTTGCTGATGGTGACCTACATACTGCATTTGGTTTAGTGCAGTGCTTCTCAAACCCAAAGTCACGCCCCCTTTTTAAAATTTGCCAAGTCTCGCGCCCCACCTCAAAAATGAGCTAAAAATAAGCTACAATTAACAGATAGTTGGTCGGAAGTATGTTTTATTTCAAAAACACGCTGAAAATACGTGGATGGAACGTAAATAATGAAATAAATGATGATTTGGCATATAAATATCCAAAATAAGTCGGGAAAGATCAAACCTAACAAATATTATTATTTTCAATTAGCTTCACGCCCCATCAAAGAAATTTTCACCTTGTTCGTTTCCCGAATAATGTCGATTTGTGAAAATAACAATCGGGCTAAGTTCATTTCAGTAAAATTCTTTGTGGGTAACCAAGGAGCTCTGAAGCATTGTTTTCGTTTGTTTGTTTTTAGAAGTCGGAGGTAGGACTATCAACTCGAATTGCTTCCGAATGGAACCAAGTAACGGTTTTTTGGAAGGTCAACTCACACATCTTTCAAGGAATAAAATGATGCTTTCCATATATTTCGTGGCTAAGTATGATTTTTATTACATACTTACATGAAAAAAATTGAAGTGCACAACGGATTTTCTAATACATAATATTGCTGTACGTATATGTAAGTTTACATGTCCTAATTCTGCTCTCTGTATTTAGGTGCGATCAGGAATGCACTGGCGTTTTCATCCTTCGTGGCCTACTCGGGGAGTATATGCAACGAATTCTTGTCACAGGTGTGGGATCTTACGATGGGAAATATGATATTAGTTAATGACATGTCATGATTTTATTTCGAGATTTCAAATACTTCAATAGTCAAACAAATTTTATTTGTCGTTAATATTTTCCCAAAAATATATATTTTTATTATAAATTTGACCATTTTCAATGAAGCGTTTTGAACTTGTCAGATATCATCATACGGGAGGTACCAATCATAGGCCTATTCAGAAACTCGATGATGAAGTAAGTGGAGGAGCCAAGATATAACCCAGGGCATAACTATAGAGATAACTACCAAAATTAAGAGTAAAACCCCAAGAAGTGATTTTGTTTTTATCATTTTATTCGCGAAAAAATAGCCAGATCATTTATTTCTCCATCTACAATTACACAGTATAATTAAGGGTGGGCAAAAAAGAGATTCTAATATTTAAATAATCGAATAAAATTTTACTACTTGACTATCTGGTAAGACGCCACCTGCGAGGGACATTAAAACGCATGAAATTGTACATGAAAAATTTGCACAACTCTTTCGGCAAACAGACAGCTCAAAATAGAGTTGTCATTATGGTGTTTTTGGGTACTCCCGCAGTATGTATACCAGGTTATACCGATTTTGTTTATTTTAGTTCTATTACGAGTTCGGGGAATGTTTGTGTTAGCCACTTGAATATACTCCCTGCCCATAGGTTTCCGTCCCTTTACATAACTTGATGTAAAGTAGGCGAACGAAATTAGTAACCTCCATATTGAAAGACATACCGGTACTTCTGGATCGCCGTTTTTTGTTTCATTTTCAGTTTCTATACTATATCATGGTATAGTTTGAATTTTAATTTATGAGCGCTCATCAATCATCTAAGATTCAAAAACTTGAAAAGATGTTTTGCCGGTCTTGACTCTTTAGTCTTATAATAACACTCTTCTGTTTCATTTTTTCTTCGTTTTTTTCATCGTTTTTCACTTGTCAGTCGTGGGCTATAGATACGGAGGGGAAAACCGTTAAAAGTAGGTATCTTGTTGAAAGTATCAGCATTAGATTGAGATTCAAAGGGCTATTTATTCTATGTGCGAGTTGGCTACGGTACCATCTTAAAGGACCGTCATGGCAAGCCGCCTTTATTTTTGAAAGGACACTTATTGTGATTAATAAAATAGCCATTTAACCTGTCGAATAAGTAACCTAAAACTTCCAGTCAGGCTCTAGCTGATGATTCGAGAAACACAAATTTAACTATTAAAAAGTTTTTTTTTGCTAATGCATAGTATTCTTAAATCTTTTAACAATTCTTTTTTTTTTGTTTCTCTTCAAACTTTTCACTCATAATTCCGTTACAAACTCAAAGATTCGGGTTATCAAAATGTCCGCAGATACTAAATTTTCTAACCTTTTAGTTTGGGAAATAAAATTAGGAATTCGATCAAAAACAGTTGGTTTAAGAATCAACTTGAAGATTTGAATTATTTCAAAAGTGTAAGTAACAACTTCACTTTAATTTTACTCCAAACGATTTCCCCAGAATCCTTTGGGACGGGTATTTTCAGGCGAAATGATACGTGGAGCGCCTCCAATTCTTGTGCTCGGTAACAATGCACTGAATCAGCGCAAGTTCTGTTATTTTATTTAATCCCAGATGCGTTGCTTAATATTACTGCTAATAGGCACAGAATTACCCTGCCCCTGAATTTAAAATGGGCTTCTTCCTACTGAAAATGTATTCACATATTTAAATTGGGGCTGCTGTTCACACACGATCACAAATATGCCGTGAGAGTACGCTCATCGGGACATTACATACAAGATTTTCAATTACAATCCCCATAGTTACAGCAAACCTCTATGAAATGATCGCTATCCAAACGTTGGTTCAGACATGATGCTAACGCCATAGTTATCTTATAGTCCTAACGAGACAGCTTTTAGTATAAATGAGAGAATTTGCAGTAGAAAGTTCATATTTGAATAACCACGAAAGTTTACAAATTGCTATGGGCCCTTGAGCAATTTAGTGGGAATTTATTGACTTCTATTATCTTTGCGAGTTATTCATAAAATATTTTATTCGAGAAATGCACTATTTTCCTGTTATTATACAGGGTGTCCAAAAATTCTCTTTACAATTCAATAAAATATTATTACAAAGTGAAATGATGGGATATCGCAGTGAGGGTTGTTTTATGTTAATCAGTATTTAATAACGATTTTGTTGGCATATTTAAAGTACATCTAGACGGTAATCTATTTATTGACATGTTCTTTGTAGCATAGGCTCATTAATGGTTGCAATGATATTGGAAATTTTTTGTTTTAGGTTAGTCATGTTACTTACTTTTGTTCAATACCAATTATTCTTTACGTAACCCCAGAGAAAGAAGTCCGGGGGCGTGATGTCTAGTGAACGTGGCCATGGAATTGGCCAATCCCTTCCAAATCTATTGTCGGGAAATGTTTCACTGTGGAACTTATAAACATGCGGTCCCAATTCTGGTGGTGCATCATCTTTTTGGAATGTGATGGTTGGTTGAAAGTCAATCAGTTTTGGTGCTCTTTATTCGGTTAGAAGGTTTTAAGGTAAATATTTGCAGTGATTGATGCCTCGTTCAAGTCAAACAGCCCAATTATTCGATTGTAGCCTACAGGATTCCGCACCATACATTAACTTTTGGACTATCTCGCTTAAGTTCTCTACTCGCATGGTGGTTTTCTGATCCCCGAATTCTTGCGTTATGATCGTTTAACTCTCCTGAAACAAGAAAAGTTGCCTCACCACTGAAACAGACTTGCTTCATTTTCAGAAGTTGTTTGCATGGTGTTCACTGCAAATTTTTTTCGTCGTCTGTATTGTTTGCCTTATGTAAGCATATAATCTTAAATTCTTGTGTAGAAATTCGTGCCCTGTGGAACGTGGTTGTTCCGATAGTCTGGTAGTTTTACGGATGTAATTCACAGAAGAACGTTGAAAGGCTTGCCTTACACGCTCGATGTTTTCTTCAGGTGTTCTTGGTCTCCCACTCCTTGTATTGAACACTGTCCCTGCTTCCGTAGTTTTATTGTGCCTAAAACGAATTGAAGGACGTGGTGGTGGGTCTCTCCCATAATCATGTCTGCAGTTTGAGACATATGATTTTGTCTTAATGAACCAGGATACACATTGCGCTTTTTCTTGAGGAGTGGTCATGGTATAGGGTTTCGGTTCATATAGTTCAATTTTCATACATTGGAAATAATTTAAATGAAGAGATTTTATCTGAACCAAAAAATTTTAGTCTCAATAAAAACTTTATGAAATACGGATTAACATAAACAAGACTCATTGCGAAATCTCATCAATTCACTTTGTAATCATTTTTTTTAAATTGAAAGAGACTTCATGAACACCCTAGCATATTAATAAACGTCAGAGAAATAAATACACATATAATTAAAAAGTATGTATGGTATCTTAAATTGGTAATCAAAATTTTCAGCGAGAATTGGCATGTGAAATAATTTGATTTGAACTTCGCCTTGGTGCAGTACACAAAACAAACACACTTAAGAAGAAATTCAGGAAAGTTGCCAAAACGTAAAAATGGGACATAAAAGTACCACATGGGTTATCCAAAATTCAAGTAGAAGTCCAATATATGTGTAATTGAATATCTACTCCGACAGTTATAGCTTGATTCGTGCGAAAATTTATATATTCTGATAGTGCAATATAGATAGTTCGTATATTGATTTAATACTAGGTGTTCTATCACGGTGCTGACGTCCTGAGTCTCTGCAATTTTGATATTTTGCTTTCTCAACATTCGAACAAATTCATCGTATATGTCTTCCTTCACAAAAGTACGACTTTCAGCAAAACATACTTGGTCATTATGCATATAGCATGACTATAGCAAGAAATACTGTTTCATCGACTTAAAAATAATAGGATTTTCTCCATATGTAAAACGTTGAATACGATTTGAACCACATAATAGGACATATATTTTGGTATAGTAGATATTAAATCAGATATATATATGAGTTTTAGTTATAGACAAATCATATATATATATATATATTTCTATTTTATCGATTTGGTCGACAACACGGAGTTATTTTCGCTGTATTTGGGCGACGGGAATTTTTGGGCCACATTTTGTTGTCGCCCAAATAGTTTGGGCTTTATTTTCTACATAAATCCCTCAAGCAAAAAGTCTGAAACTTTTTGTCATTTTCAACATTACCCTCAACTATCACCACATAATGTTGGATTTGAAATTCAAGCAAAAAAACTCTGGTTTTTGCCGACAGTTTCTAGGCCTAGCTATATCCCGTTTTGCTATTTTTGCTAAATTGTGGCTACAAAAATAAATCATGATTTTCTCTTTTCTAACCCGGTTATCTTTGGCCAGAATTGGAGGATTAACAAGAAAATATTTTCGCTATCGTATGGTATTCCAATAATTCACCGGAAACTTATCTGGGACTTGCGGACACTGCTATGGTATAATTTCACTCTTGACAAAATGTGCAAATTGCAGGACGAGACATTATGACGTCATATATGGTCTGCGTCTTGCTCTGTCAGGAGCGATGAGAGAAGTTGGTTTTAGTTTATCGTTTTGAATCAAAGGCAATTCGGATTTGTACATAAGGATGCGGGACATGTTATTATGTAAAACAAAGGCTCTGAGATATTGTATGCAAAGAATTGTTTGAGATGATGTTATCACTTTGAGTCTGCAAAGTATCTCGCTACCTAATTATGGAAGACATGAAAATATATGGAACAGACGTGATAGTCCTATCCAGTTGCGACAGAATAGGATTTCGCAGTAAATGTAGTCTAGTCCAATATTTTTTAAAAAAGGTAAACTTTATATTATTTTGTAAAATAAATTTATGTTTTGTTTTCCTAGTCACAGATTTGGGAAAAAACGAAGCTGACAGAAGATCATTGAACGTGTACGGAAGTCTGTCAAAGATCAGGAAAAGGAAAACTTTCCAAGCAAACTCGAGAACATTAAAATAGAAAGTTTATAGATATATATATATAAGATAATTTTGGAGTCATTTAAAAACATGTGGAAGGAAAACTGTTATTTGAAGAACAAAAAGGTTCAATAGGGATAAGACAAGGTTGAATATGTCAGAAAAGCGTAAGGTCAATCTTGAAAAAGGTT